GCACACACACGCACGCACGCGCACGCACACACACGCGCGCGCGCACACACACACACAAACACACATTTTTGAGAAAATGTAAAAAGTAGATTCTGTCTCTATCGAAAGCAGGAAAGAATAAATCTATTAGGCTTTAGCTGTTGTATCAAAGCGTATGACAATCACAACAGAGATCCAAAAATCGAATGGGAATTCGGAAGTTGATTTTTTATCATTAAGCATCGGGTGGAGGGTTGATGTTTGCCTATAATTGAAGGTTAGTATTAACCCCCATTCTTAGATATGCATTGCTTGTCACCCACAAAGGTTTTAATGTGAGGTTGATTGATACCAAGCTGGTGCTCATAGCCGCCATGTTAGTCTTGAATTTACTCTTTTACATCAGTCAGTATAGTGGCCATGCCTCAAATCGTATTGCTAATGTGTGCGCTGTTAATGCGTAACCTCTCACCATTGCGACCCGGGTTCGAGTCCAGCTGGTCTCGGTGTCATATGTGAGTATAGTTGTTTGTTGGTTCTCTCCTGTGCTTCGAGGGTTTTTCACCGGGTTCTCTGGCCGTTCCTCCATACCCACAATTTTCTATTCACAATTTGCCATTTAAATTCCACGCAAAAGACCGCAAATGAGGTCCATTAAAAGCAACCTACTTCTGTTGTGTACTTACTGTAGGCCACGTGTCTGGCCGTTTCTGGTCCCTTTGGCCTCAGGTCTTTGGACACCGGGTAAAACAACAGATTCTCAGATTTATCCACAGCTGTTCGCAAATGCTCCAGATCAGGTTTCGCACCGAACGCTATAACATACGAACGAATCCCCAAATCTTTTAGTCGCTGTACAGCCACATCAAGGGGTTGTGCGGAGACGCCATCTTTCCCTCCTGTTAGGAGAACAACGATCCTTGGGACCCCAGAACGTGCTTGTAACATGAGTTGGGTTGCTGTGTCGATGGCTACATCCATTCGTCTTGTACCATTGACTGGAGGTGCATTATCGACCAGCCTGTTTTCAGGTGATAAGTTATGTTGGGGTTTACAAAGGGGTCAATGAACGACGCATGCTAATACTAAAAAAGGCAATTTTGAGGCATTTGTTGGAATGCTATTTGCAGATATACTAAAGGCGAGATTTGAAGACAAATAGCCATCATTACCACCATCATTCTGTTATTTGAAATTATAACTTAATGATAATGGTAGCAGAATCTGACAGGCCACAAAATAGAATGCTTAGATACATTCAAATATTCACAAAAATTTTGATGACTGTGCAACCCCGAGAAAAAAATAACTACATTTTTTTTAGACAAAGATTGTGTGATAGCAAACCTTTCAAACGCTGCGATTGATCCATAGTCAAGGAATGACGTCACAACATTAGCGGTGTTGCCATAGGTAACAAAGGCTGCACGTGATTTCAGTGAGTGGATGTTGAGTAGATTAGCCATCAGCTTCACCAAAGACTTTTGTTTCGTGAAGTCTGAAGGACTTACGTCAACTGATGAGTCTGCTAAGAATACGATGTCCGCTCCGAAGTTTGGTGGGGCTCCTGCAGGTACGGGAAAAAAGAAAAATCGTGTAAAGGAATTGAGGAGCGGAATAAAGTTTGAAGAGTCACAGCGCGCGAATCGACAAGGCACTTCCATATGGCAAGTCTATAGCCAGTCCACGGTTCGATCTTCAGGATCTTCACGTTTGTTTCGACTTCTCTCTAATCTGAGTAGCTTCAGCTTTGAATACTCTTAAAACAGAGCACTGATGGAGAGAGGGGGTAAAATGCGCACCGTCAACTCCCTGAAAGACAAGCTACTAGCTGAAGGAAGACTGACCTTAAATAAGCCCTTTATCTTTATACCGTAAGCTTTCCACAATAAGAGAAAATAGTCTCTAAAAAAAGGAAGACAAGAGAATAGTGCATGACTGACCTGTACGATCGCTGATCTGTCTCGCAGTGGTAGGCAGTTCAACAGGCAACAAATCATACGTCTGTATTCTAAAGACATCTTTTGGATCCTGCACTGTCGGTAGAAGCTCGGTTTTATCTGGTTCACTTCCAATTGCTATTACGTATGTTTTGGCTCCAATGTTTCTCAGGGATTTGGCGGATCCTTGCAGGGCTCGAGCGGTAACTTCCGGAGACGTTCGTCCTGCTGTTAAGAGCACAACAACCTGTAGAAATGAAAGAAGAAAATATTAAAAAACAAAGTAGCTTGCTTCATTAATTCGTCGGATATGAAAAATAGAGAAAATCAAGAACGTTAAGACGAATAGTAAATCCATATATTAGCAGAGCACTAACCGTTATATGCACGACTCTTATGATGTTCTCATAATCCGCGCTTCCTAATGTACCCTTATCATTCTCAAAATTATCGTGGATGTTGGGCTAACATTAAAAACATAAAAGAAATCACACTTTTTTCTCGCTGGAATTTGTGCCATTGCTTTTGCATTACCATGTTGGTCTCGCATTTAAGATAATTTTGAGAAGGATCGATCCATTTAGATCACAATATTAATCACAAAACGCTAATGTTAAGGCAGTGTTCAAATATACCTTAGGCACGTTGGGACGGGCTTCATAAAGAGCCTCCTTCGCTGCGTCCAAAGCGTAGTCAACCCGTCTGGATCCTCCAACTCTTCCTGCACGATCCACAAGAGCATCGAACTCACCAAGGGTCGAGTAGCCCCCAAAATCGATGACTTTAGACGATGTGCTGCCATAGGTTATGAGAGCTGCTCTGGAATGGCCTGGTTTGACGTTTAGATATCTGGCAAGAGATTTAACTGATTCTTTTTGCTTTAGGTATTGGTTTGCGTCGACGGGAGAAGATGAATCGATCAGGAACACGATGTCACCGTTCACCACGGGAGCACTGGGGACTACACAAAACAAACGACTAATTATGAGGGTCCTGAAGTGGGGGTCCTAATCCCATTACCCAGCCCCCATTTTGACTAAATCCCATAGTCTCAGCCTATGTTTTGCTCAAATTTCCATCCCATTTCCATTCTTTATCGTTTTTTTTTACCCCAAAAAGGCAAATTCCAGCTCTTTAAGCCCTTCAGGGCTTTTCATGTTTTGCTCAAATCTCCATCCCATTTCCATTCTTTATCGTTTTTTTTTTTACCCCAAAAAGGCAAATTCCAGCTCTTTAAGCCCTTCAGGACCCTCTCTTATGATGCGTACTTTTGTTGGTTTTAAGTTTTGTTATCACTGTTTTCATTAATATTACTACAGGATGAACAAGTCAACAGTCGCCACAAGTTCATCGGCAGTTGCCTACTGTCAATTGACTGAATTGTTAGAGTACGGCTCCGTTCCTCTTGCAATTCATTTGATTAATGTTGTCTACTGCCCATCAACTGTAAAACGACGTCTTTTTGTGTGGTCCCCTTTCCGACCACGCGTCATTCTCCCGAGAATAAGATTATTTGATTAAGATATTTCGGTATTATCATTCTACAGCGCCGCCCTTTAGAGTGAAGTCATTAAACCCGTGAAATAAATGTTAGACTAATACACTTTAGTAGACCCTAATTCCTTTGTTTTCATTTGTGTCTTTTTGACTATTACACGTTGACTAGTATTTTTTACTTCACGGGTTAAATGCCTTCGCTCTAAAACAAAATAGGGAATTACAGGTATTCTGAAATGGAAAAACATGACGATCAAAGTAAAGAGGTCTATTGGAAAAGTTAACACGGATACCCGATTTCCGACACTATATTTGAGGCCTTTTTATGGTGTGTTGGTAGAGACCAATTAAAGCTATGTTTTCTGCTAACCTTCGCAGGCAGTTTCTGCAAAACCTTTAACTCTATTCAGAAGTGTGTCAAAAGATTCCGTCATGACAACATCGTCATCTTGGTTTGTCATTAGTCTCAATTCGTTTCGTTCGGCGTCCATGCCTATCCCAACTGCAATCATATGAACACCTGCTCGCTTCAGAGGCTCTGATGCTCTGGAAATATTAAACATGTCAAGTGTTAAAATAACTGTTCAAACAACTGATATGGTATTTAAATTGAAGTACACCCAGGTAAAGATCGCAATGCATGGAAATGTTAAGGGCTTTCATTGTTATTCTGACTGTCCCAATTTTAGAAAGTGGGCGCAACTTAATTTAAGAGTTTTTCTTGACGAGACATGGCAAAAAAAGACTATTGGAGACTCGCTACCGGTAAAGACAGACCCCTTGTATTGATTTCCTAGAGGGACAAAACAATAAGCCGTCTTTTCCTATGCAAGAAACATCCATTGTTTTGTCCCCCAGGATAATTCCTCTTGGGACTCGGTTCAAGAGATCTATTTGCAAGATTTGTCTAGGCAAAGTCTAGGCAAAGTTCTAACCATTACCAGATATTGCCAGAGCAAAGGGAACACCTTCTACTCAGATATTTTAAGATACTTGAACACAGGTCGTCAAACAGGCCTGTATCCAGTCAACTAATTATGATCCAACTGTGAGGTAGTCTCCCATGCAGCCGCTATTAGTTTCGGTCCCAGATCCTTACAGGACCTCCGAGTCTCCACTTAATGTCGGCCGCGGAGAAGACTAACACCTTGAATGAAGCAACAAATTACCTGTCCAGTGCAACTGCATTTTCAGACTTGGTCTGTCTGCCATCAGTCATCACAACCGCAATATGTAAGACTTCACGGCGCGCAGTGCCTCTTGGTCCAAAGAAGTCCTTATAAGTCAACAAAAGCGCTCTATCGATTCTGGTCTTACCCTTCTGATGTGGCAGGCCTACTACAGCGATTGAAAAACTGTTTATGTCGTTAAAATCGCCAAAGTCCATTTCTTTCTTCGCATCGTTGCTGTATAAGACCAGCCCGAAGCGGGTGTCAGTGGGCGACATGACGAAGCTACTAGCAAAATCAATAATGAAGTATTTCATCTTTTTATAATCCCTTCTCCTGATGCTACCAGATGAATCGACGATGAATACTAAGTCGATCTTGACGTCACATTTTTGAATTGCTTGAAAATAAAGCAAAAGTACGTATAAGTACCTACGCTGATTTTGCGTATGTTGCTGGTGTTTATGCATTATGGAAAGAATTCTTGAACATGTCCTGCTAACGAAATGTATAACACAGAAAGCAAGAGCGCCGTTGGATTTCTGCGTTAAAAATTGTTTGTATGGCTCTGGGGAGAAGGGGGGGAGGGGGGGGGGGCAAAAACCAATGACACCAAATAATATCTAAATTAACAATGCCAAGTCTGATAAGTACTTACCAGCTCCCTCGGCGATCTCTCTCCCTATAGAGCTGCCTAAGAAGGCCAGAGTATCAAAAGTTTTAACAGGAATTACATCCTCAGCTCTGTTTACTACTTTGTAGATCTCTTTGGGGCGGGGCTGACTTCCGACATGAATAACATACATCTTCGCTCCTAAATCACGCAAAGGAAGTGATGCTAAGCCAGGTGATTTGGCGCCGACTTCAGGGTATTGTCCGCCAGCGGTGAGCAGAACGAAGACCTTAGATGCATCTTGTCGAGATGAGTTGAATATTTGAGTAGCGTCTTCGAGAACTCGGTCGATTCGTCGATATCCCCCTTGTGGTGTTGCGCCGTCTACTTTAGACTCAAAGTCAGCTTTAGAGTCGTAACCATTGAACAGGAATACTCGCCTTGGGTTGTTGCCATAGGTAACCAGGGCAGCACGTGACTTACCAGGCTCCACGTTTAATGAACGAGCAATGTTTTTGACAAAGAACTTTTGTTGGTCGAATTCGGTTTTTTTGACGTCGATTGAAGAATCGATGGCGAAAACCACGTCTAAATTAGCATCAGTTGGTGTCTGTGGCTCTTCGATTCAAGATAGACAAAAGGCTTCGGTCATTGATGCAAATCAATTATATTGATAATCATCACTTAATTATTTATGGCACTCAACCAAATTATTCGATAGTGATTAAATTCCAAATCGTTCTCTGTAGAGTGCTAATTTTAATTTTGTTGAGTGTATTATAAGCAACAAATCGCACAATCGTGATGTTTTGAAAGTTCTCAAGCCTAAAGCTACGGACACACGGTGCAATATTGCGCGCGATGTTGCATGCAATTGATGTTGCGTGCCATGACACACGACGCAATTTTTTGCACGCAACGTTGCTGAAGTAGAAAACTATAATACTTCAGCAATATTGCCTGCAATGTCGTGCCTTAAAGGCTCGTCCAATTTTGAAAACTTTCGACATCACTCGTACCTATAATTTCCGAATTGTCCTTGAGATCGTGCGATTTCCTATACTAATTTATCGCTGCTAAAGAATGCTACCAAAAACCTCCTTCCTACCTTCACACGTAGTTTTTGAAAATGTTCCAACTTTTGCCAACAAATCGTCAAAAGACGTCGCCATGACAACATCATCATCTCTCTCCGTCATGAGTCTCAGTTCCTTCCTACTGACGTAAGAACCGATTCCTACAGCAAAAATATAAACCCCTTCCCTTCTCGGTGCAGTTGCTGCCTTATCTAACGGAACAGTATCTGGATCTTTGGTCTGTTGTCCATCTGTCAACACTATAACGATTCTATGAACTCCACGACGCGCGGTACCTCCAGGACCATAGAGCTTTACATATGCCATCTGAAGAGCTCGATCAATACGCGTCCTTCCACGCTGATGAGGCAGGCTTGCAACTTTGATATGGAAGTCTTCGATGCTTGTCTGATCACCAAAGTCGATCTCTACTTTTGCATAGTCGCTGTAAAGAATGACTGCAGCGCGGGAGCCATTACGAGAAACTCCGAATTTACTCGCTAAAGTTGATACAAATGTTTTGATCTTGGTGTAGTTTCTTTGACCAATACTTCCGGATGAATCCACAATGAAGGTCAAGTCAACAGGGATTGTACAACTTGGTGTGCCTAGAAGAAACAGGGGATCCTTCAGCTGATACACTGGATTATTACTATGGTTAAACACAAAACTTTTAAGGTAAGCTAGCACTAACTTGATAGACTAGCCGTGGCTACGATGGAGTGTTGCTAGGGATTCTCTTAGAAAATGATTTTACAAATGAATGGTAATAGTGATGGTAACGATAAAGATGATGATGATAGGTAATTGCTATCCTCACGCATTATCCTCTTAATCTTAATTTTAAGGTGTTGTTTCACGAGACAATTCGAAACGACGATTTTTTTCGCGCAACAATGTACATGGATGCTTCAAAACTCACAACATTGTTGCCATCGATTTGTGTTGTCGAGCGCGCCATGTTACACGACGCAACAATGGTGCGCTAAAAATCGCTGTAATATCGCCATCGCCATTTTTCTGACGTTTTTAAATATATTTTACAATCCCTGATGGTGGTCGTTTAGACCGAAAGCGTGGATGATTTCTAAAAAGTTAAAACACTTGGTTGAATAAACGTCTAAAATTAAACTGATAATGATGATGTTCCATGATCAAGATAATTTAAAGATCTAACGTACAAAAAAGTACCGATATGCTTATTCCCACAAATGGTTTTATAATAAAAGAGCAGTAATTTCCCTCTATATACTTACTTGAAGAGATCTGTCTTGCAACACCAGGGGCTCTATCAGTAAGATGACTGAATGAAGTAACATTGAACAAATTATTAGGTGTACGAACAGCTGGCTTCAACTGGTCAGGATCTTTATCAGAACCAATACTAATGATATACGTCCGAACTCCAAGGTCTGCAACAGGTATTACCGCTCTTGATAGAGGATCTGCCAGAGAATCTTGTTTACCAGCTGTCAGAAGCACCACAATCTTCGGTACATTGGGTCGCCCTTCTTTGATTATTTGAGCTGCTGCGGATAACGCCCGATCTGCCCTACGGGGTCCCCCCACGGGTCGTAAGTTGTCGATCGCATTTTCATATTCGTCCAAAGTTTTATAGCCTTCGAATCTAAGACCAACATTAGCAGTGTTCCCGTATGGGATGAGTGCTGCTCGAGATTGACCTGGTCGTACGTTCAGCTGTTTGCTTAATTGTTTGACAAAGGCCTTTTCGCGGGTGAACTGAGATGACGTCACATTCGATGATGTGTCAACCAAGAAAATGACGTCAGCAGTGAAGCTTCGTGGAGCACCTGACAACATATCATAACAGTGTTTCATCAAAAATCCAATGAACATTGATGCATATTCTTTCTCCTAATGATTTCTCTGAATCATAGAGGATATTCTCTTATAGGTCTAAACAGCTTTTTAGGGGTTAACCAAATAAATGAAGTTTGTAACAGCAGGGAGACAGTTTTGCGGAATGCCGCAGGCCATTTTCTCAATGGTTTCAAACACCAGTTTGTTAAGCAATATTGCGCGCACGGCGACACCTTATATTGGTAATTAAACCGCGCGCTGAAAATAGTATAAAACTCTTGTTACGGCTGCCTGTGCCCTTATCATGTTGAATTATTTTCATTCATAGAACAGTGATATCGTGCGTTGTCATTGGTTCAATAGATCTCGCTTCTTCCATTGACAGGTTCTGTGAACCGTACCGTGCACTTACAGTCATACAGTCTACTCTATCTATATTTTGCGTGTTACTGGAATCACGTTTAATTACCTGTTTGAGCAATTCCTTTCGAAATTGACTTTACTTGTGGTTTAATATTATCGATTCCGCGGACCAATAAAATATCTTGTGGTTTGTCAACAACAGGTAAGAGTTCTCTCTGAGAAGGTTGTTGTCCAATAGTGATAACGAAAGTCTTAATCCCAAGATCACGGAGTAACTGAGAACTCCTATTAAACGTCTTGGCATTAGACGCGGGTTCTTGCTTCCCTGTGGTGAGTAAGACAGCAATCTTGGGCACGTTGGGTCTGCCTGATGCCAGAACTGTGGACGCAGTTTCCAAGGCTCCGTCCATCCTTCTGTTGCCTCCTACATGAGGGGCTTGGTCGACAGCGTTTTCAAATGCTGAAATGGTTCCGTATTCGTCAAACATGTTCACACGTTGAGCAGTGGCTCCGTATGTTACCACCGCACCCCTTGAGTTACCAGGTGAGATGTTCAGCAGTTTAGCAAGGTATTTGACGAGTTCTTTTTCTCCCTTGTAGGTGCTGCTACTGACTTGTGAGGAAGAATCCATTAAGAAGACTATATCTGCTTGTAAGGTGGTCGGGCGTTGCTGGACTAATAAAAATATAAAATTCATTTATACTATGCATACAAAATAGCATACTTTGGTGGATCATTCTTGCATTAATTTTGTATCCATGAAATAATAAGTCAGTCATGTTATAATACTACTGTACTACTATCAAATTACGCTAAGTGCACGAATAAGACCTTTAATACGATAGACCATTATTCCAAGGGAATTTGTTAGTAAACACCTACCTCTACAGGCTGTCTGTGCAAAAGCACCAACTCTATTTAGGAGATCATCAAACGAATCAGCCATATAAACATCCTGATCTCTCTCCGTCATCAACCTTAGTTCTTTCCTATCAGCCATATGCCCGATACCAACAGCCAAAATATAAACATTCCCTTTCCTCAGTTGATCTGCTGCAATATCCAGGTCAACAGCATCTGGGTCTGGAGTTTGTTGTCCGTCAGTAAGAACCACCGCAATGCGTTGGATGTTTTGGCGCGCAGTCCCTCCTGGCCCAAAAAAGTCTCTGTATGCAAGTCCTAAGGCTTTGTCAATGCGCGTTCTTCCACGCTGTTGAGGAAGAGCTTCCACGGCATTTCTAAAGTCCTCTGCATTCGTGAAGGAAGTAAAATCGATTTCCTTGACTGCTTGGTCACTGTAGAGTATCACTGCCGCACGTGATCCTGTTGGCGATAATCGGAACTTCTTCGCCATCGCCGAGACAAATGATTTCATCTTTGAATAATCGTCTGGACCGATGCTTCCTGAAGAATCGACTAAAAAGGCAATGTCGGCTGCCGCAGTGCAAGAATCGGATTCTGAAACATAACGAAGGCGAAAAAAGGCGCTTAAAATTAGAAAACGCGGAAATAAATTTCTGAACAATGGTGACACAGGTGATCTGTTGCAGCAAAGAAAATATTTTCGTGAAGTATCATGGCACGACATGGCTAAGTCTACCTAAGTAACTTTGTATATCAGTATTCTAATGTTTTACCTCTTGCGATGTGTCTTGATAAAGGAGGAGCACGCAAAATTAAATCACCAAATGATTTAACAAGCGTGAGATCTTTGGAACTCTCAACAGCTGGTAACAACGTTGTTGGGTCAGCTTCGCTGCCGAGAGCCACAACAAATGTCTTAGCGCCAAGTCGATTCAACGGCTTTACAGCTTCAGCTAGACTTTTGGCTCCTGGCCCTTGCCGTCCAGTTGTCATAAGCACAACAAGCTTGGGCACCTCAGAGCGTGCCTGTTTTACCAGGCGAGTTGCAGCGTCAAGTGCGTTGTCTATTCGTCTCGTACCTCCAAGGAATGGCGCGCGATCGACTCTTTCATCGAAATTATCCATTGATGTGTAATCGTTGAACGAGAACACAGTGTTAGGATTGTCGGCGTAAGTCACAAATGCGCCTCGAGACTTTCCTGGAGCAACGTTAAGAAGACGTGCCAGCTGTTTGACAAAATTCTTTTGGGTGTTGAAATCTGATTGGCTGACTCCGGATGACGCATCGACCAAAAAGATGACGTCAGACGAGAAAGATGGTGGAGCACCTGCAAAGTAATTTTGGGTTTGAACTTATTAAAAAGCGTGAGAAGACGAGTACGGTTTATTATCGTGAAGTATCTTGTTCATTGTTAGTGCGAGTGTTGAACTTAGAGCCATGATTTCATGTTTGATCTAAGATATTCAGTACTTCAGACAATACTCTATTTTGTGTTGAAATACTCCTGTTTCGAGTTCTCTGTTGCTCAGGGTTAGCCTCGGTGTTGAATATTGATGTGTTCCAGTGAATGTCCGTGAAATTTCAAAGTTTTTTGTTCGTTTAAGTTGTTCATTCTTTAATTTACAGTTGGTACGTATTTGTGAATATTTAGACACTGATACGAAGCCCACCCTCTGTAATCAAGGAACAAAGATGTAATTTTGAACTCGAAAATGGTCTATTCTTTAAAATGAGTACGGTATAGCTGTATCATACCTGATCGGCTCATTATCATACGTCCAATTTCACTTCCTTTGGACTGCAGTGCATCAAAATCATTGACATCAATCACATCTTGTGAGTGCTGAACCAAAGGTCTTAGCTGGTTTTTATCTGGTCCATCACCGACTCCCACAACGTATGTCTTGGCTCCAAGATCACGAATTCGTTTTGCAGCTTCCTCCAACGTCCTTGCCCCCTGCACCGAAGAATGTCTGCCACCAGTAACGAGAATACTTACTTTAGGTACGTCAGGCCGTGCGCTTCTAATCAAAGCAGATGCACCATCTAGGGCTTGGTCTATTCTCCTGTCTCCACCTTGAAGACGAGCGTTGTCTACTTGCGCGTCTAGCTCAGCGAGAGTTCTGTAGCTATCGAAGTTTACGACTGGGAATGAGGTTGAGCCATAGTTGACAAGCGCCAGCCTTGATCGGCCGAGAAACACGTTCATTGATCTTGCAATAGCTTTAACAAAGTTCTTTTGCTTTTGAAGTTTATCGGGTGTGATTTGGCGGGAAGAATCGATCATGAGCACCAAGTCAGCGTCAAAGTTCTCTGGCTTTGGCGAATCTTTATAGGAGGAAAAGTGTTCACACGTTACTAAAAGTTTCATTTAGTTATACAAGAAACTCGATTTACGGAACTGATCCGACAAAGTCTGGTCACGTATGATGTTTAGAGGTGAAAAGGTCAAAAAATATTGACTATGTAGCGTACGTTTTTGTGCCTTTTCTCCCACTAGGGATATCTCCAATCGTGATTCACTGTACCGTACATTTTATACTCAGATGTAATTGACAACATACTGGGATCCAGACCACATAAAGTTTTGGGAAAATATCATCCCTAACATGAAAATGTTTTGTTTTGAGAAGAAAAATTAGAAAGATTACAAGCGGAACTTACTTGCAGCAACGAGTTTCGCTAGGCCTGGAGCACTTTGGTGTAATTTAAGAAACACGGGTACTGTTGTGATATGACTCTGGCTCTCGACTACTGGACGTAGTTGATTATAATCAACATTTGGACCAGCAGCTACGACAAAGGTCTTGATCCCCAGGTTACGCAATCTCCTTGCGGCCTCGTCGAGCGATCGCGCGTTGGGACCTTGTTTCCCGCCATTTACAAGCACGACAACTTTGGGTACTTGTGGACGAGCGCGGGTAAAAATCTGCGAAGCAATTTCAAGAGCCGTGTCTGTTCGTCTCTCTCCTCCCGTTGGCTGTGTGCCGTCTATTGCTTTATGTAGTTCTTCAATAGTACTATAGCTATCAAGTCCAGACACAATTGTTGGTTTATCTCCATAATTAACGACCGCAGCTCTTGATTGCCCTGGCTTTACGTTTAGTAAGCTTGCGGTGTGTTTGATAAACTCCTTCTGATTGGTTAACTCGCTTGGGGAGATCCCATTCGAAGAGTCGATGAAGAACAGTACATCGGCATCAAAGTCTTTTGGCGCACCTGTAAACATGACAAAGAAATGATACTCATCTGTTGCATTAATACTTATGCTTATATACCTATTTCAAAAAACGTTGTTTTCGCCAAAGGCAATAGGCAACAGGCAATATGCAATAGGCAATAGGAGAAAAGCGATAGGTCATCTCAAGATCCAAGAATAGCTGGAATGACTTGTGTTTCTGCTTCTTATTCTCGTCAAGAACATGGACCTTAGTGTTGAGGCTGATTCAATCTTCTCTATATTCAACGAAACCATTTCCATGTTGGAATGCATGGCCTATTGCCTATCACCTTTGGCGATGACAACGTTCTTAAAAAATAGGTGTATACTATAAGGTTTTTAAGTAGTAAACCCGCCAGTAAATAAACGTTGAAACTCAAAGGGTCTAAAAAACGTAGCAAATCAATACACATACTTGGAAAAAAGTTCTTAAAACATACCTGTAATTCCCAGAACACGGTTGATAGTATTTTGAGCTTTGCTTGGAAGACCGGTAAAAGAAGGCACTTGGATGACATCATCAGGACCCAGAACAGCAGTGCGCAGCTCATTAGGATCAACCCCATTTCCTATACCAACGATGTATAACCTGGCACCCATTGATCTCAGAGGTCTGGCAGCATCATTTAATGCTCTGGATCCACTCTCAGTTTGTCTTCCCGCTGTTATCAAAATGGCAAGTTTCTTTGCATTTGGTCTGCCAGAAGTAAGGACTGTAGCAGCCGCGTCTAGCGCTTTGTCTATTGCTCGTTTACCCCCAAGATATTCAGCTTGGTTTACTTCTTGTTCGAAGACTCTGAGAGATTGAAAGCCCTCTAGTCTAGACTTGATGGTAGCGTAGCTGCTGTAGATTATAAGACCAGCTCTGGTAGAGTCAGAGGCTAGGCTTAGTGATCGGGCAAGAGATTTGACGTACTCTTTTTGAAGCTGATATTTGTAAGGGTCGACCTCGGAAGTGGAATCCATCATGAAGACCACATCGTAGTCACGAACGATTCGCTTGATTTGCTTTCCTGCAATGAAAAAAAGTTCACTTCATGTCGTTTTGCGCATCCCATTTACTTTAGGATCTCTTCGCATAAAAATTTCCCTCTTGTGCGAAGAAGAAATCTTTTGGTTTTTAGTTGGATGGTAATAGTGTTGACCCTAGTTCTAAGGTCTTCTGTTGTTTAGGCCCATTAAACTAGGGTGACCCCCGGCTGGTGCAGTGGACCGGCCGTTATCTAGCGGTTGCATAAAGATAAGGTGACGCGAGTGTATTGGCAAAGTCTTTTGTGGCCTAGGACGGTCTCTAAACCTTGAGTGATCCGGATATTTATATAGTTGTTAGAAAAAATAAAATCCATCGACTGAGAAGGAATTCAAATTTGGAAAAAAATTGTCGCCGGGCAATCCAAGTTCTTGAGATGTCAAACGCATTAACTTAAATTGCGCCTCAAAATTAAGTATAATATGAAAGTTCTTAGACCTAATTCCCACTTTACTATAACCATGCACTTACCGTGTGTTCTACTGATGTGAAGGCCAACCTTTTGCACATTAGTCTGCAATGACTTAAAATCACGCATCCTCATGATATTCCTTGGATCACTAATGGTCGTAAGTTCTCCATCATCGACGTCAGGCCCGATGGCAATGGAATAAATCTTTCCACCCAAGTCTCTTATCATTTTCATGGCCTGATTTAGAGGGACTGAATCAGCGTCTTTGGAAACTGGTCCACTAGTAACGAGTATTCCTATCTTAGGACCACCTCGATTACTGTACTTAAACATATCTCCCGTTCTTCTAAGAGCCTCGTCCGTCCTTCTTGACCCTCCCAGGAACACTGCTCTATCTAGCTTCTGAGCAAAGTCATTATGGCTGGTGAAGTCTCCAAGAGCATTGACCGTGTAGGCAGTACGGTCAAATACGACAGTTCCCACACGAGGGCCTTTTTGGGTTGGTTTGAAAGATTTGGCTAACGATTTGACAAATTCCTTTTCACGTTTGTAGTTTTCTCCGCCAACGGTTTTTGAAGAATCGATGAGAAAGATGACATCAGTGTTTGGATCAAGCGGTGTCGAGATGTCTGAAGGAGAAGAATTGTTTTTGTAAATTGCAAAATAAAAACATTTTCAGGCTTTTGTGCGTATCTGAGTATCTCTGGCGATCGTTTAATGTAAGATCAGCCGCAGCAATTGCCGCGAATGTGTAGTCCTTGATATCTTTAAAACTAACAACAAAGACATCTTTTTGCTACCAGCACCTACGTTAACCTTACTGAAGCAGGAGCAGGAGCAGGAGCAGGAGCAGGAGTAAGTGAGTATATTTGTAGACTAGGTACCTGTATGCTTGGCTATATATCTTGCAACAGACGGCGCATAGTGGTCCAACCTTTCAAACGTCTTCTCATAGATGACATTTTTTAGTTTGTTGGAAATCCTACCCAAGGCATTGATATCCAAATTCTCACCGACCCCTATCACAAACACGTGAACATTCTTTTCACGTAAACCACGAATTGCGTTCTCCATAGCATAAGAATTAAGATCGGTAAGTTCATTGCCTCGTGTTAAAACGATTGCAATCTTAGGCACCTGAAAAGTAAAAAATATTTGATGATTATGTTAGTAGCAAAATTACCCCAGCAACACCAGATTTCACGGCGAAGACAAATCCCTACCTGAGGTCTTGCATTATCAAAAGTATCGCTTGCCAACTGTAAGGCACCCTCTATTCTCTTTCTTCCTCCCTTGTACACCAAGCCATCAACGTCAGAGCTAAAGCTAGCAATGTCTGAATGCTTTTCGAGTGGGATGTCAAGCAAGGCTGTGTCCGAATACGTGATTGCTCCTGCCCTGGTGTAATCTGGTGAAACTTTGAACGATTTTGCTAAGTTTTTGACAAGTTTCTTTTCTTTCTGGAACTCATCTTGGGTAACAGTCCATGAGGAATCGAGTAGGAATAGAAGATCAGCTGTCAGGTTGACTGGTTTGGCGGAATCTGTAACAGTGGAAACAAGAATAAGGTAAATATCTGAGAAGTCAAAAATTGTTGTCCCAATTACCGCAAATTAACATAGGCATAGACACAGGCATAGACAGGTTTTGTAGCGTTTCTATTTTATAATGCCGGAACATCAAATCAAACTATTGCTTTATCGCTAGGGATCATGGTCGCTGGAGGGGGATGGAATGACAACAACATATTCAATCACAATGAAATTTGGATTATGAGCTGGTGAATGCAAGAACAACTAAATATTATGCTAAATATCTCGAAAGAAGAGAATTAAGCTTAAATTAAGCTTTTCGTAACAGCGCTGCGAAAGTGTTTGCACGGTGCAACGGAGAGGCAATCGTCGCCAAAAGTAGAAACGAATTCCGCGAAACTTGTCTCGCGACACTGATTTATTTCAAATTGCGCTTTAGGTTACACGCTACAATGCTCCATGCAACTTGTGTCGCAACGTCGTTGCTAGACACGTTGCAGAGAAAATTGTTCCGTGTAATCGCGCCTTTAGTAGAAAATTCATATATTCCTCAGGAACGTAACATACCAGGTTGGTCTGCATGCTGAATAATTTCCCTCAGTCTTCTCAGCAAATCGTCAAACGAATCGACTGTAAACACGTCTTGAGGTCTCTCAGCCAACAAGTTCAGTTCATTAATATCCACATGTGCTCCGACGCCTATAACATACATTTTGACGCCCAAGTCTTTGAGCGGTTTCGAAGCAACGTCTAACGGCTTGGCATCGAAATCTTCAGTTTGTTTCCCGTCCGTTAAAATGAAAGCGATACGTGGGACAGTCGGACGCGCATCTGTAAAAACCCCCTCCGCGACAGCCAACGCTTTGTCTATTCTAGTTCTTCCTTTAAGGTATTCCAAACCTTCGATGGCTGCGCTTACATTCCTGTTATCAAGCCTGTCTTCAAAGCCGAATATAAGTTTTGGAAAATCGTCATAGATGATAACACTTGATCTGGCTTGTCCTTTAGAAATGTCGAAGATATTGGCAAGTTCTTTGACGAACTGCTTCTCCTTATTGTAGTCATCGATGCCAATGCTTCCAGATGAGTCCATGATGAATACGACGTCTGCTTTTGTTGTAATGGTGACATTCTTGTCTGGAAAGCAGGAAAATATGATAACTATACAAACTATTTCCTTGTTAAAATGTTTTAAAAGCCTTAAAATAGTCTTAACTATTCTATCTTTGCGTTACATGCAATTATTTCGAGGTAGAGAAGTGCGCAACTTTGAAAAAAGGTTCGTTCAAATTCAAACTTTGCATGACTGTGATACGACACCACGCACGGTACTGTCATGGTACAGACGACAACCAATCAAAGCGCGCGAGAACACGGCACGGCACTCACTAAATATGAGTTATTCACAGATATAAGAAATCTACTCTAGACTTAAAGTTCAAAAACGGATCCATGGAATTAAAAAATTCAATCACGCAGGTGCGTTATATCTTTCATGACCATAGACACAAAATATTTAATCATGGCACTCGCGGAATCATCGTTACAACGAAGTTGGTTTTAGTGGACGCGCCTTTGTAAACTTTGTGTTTTCCTTGAATGTCATACCCCATTTATTCGCATTATAGCGCAAAAGGAGATATAATAAGTCAATCCTATCGAGAATATCTCCTATGGAAACACTTTGATCAGCCACCAAAAAACTATTATCTCGCGGCGGTGAATTATACGAACCCTCGCTTGCTATTTAGGACGACTCTAATCATCAACTGTCAGTCGACGCTTACCTGGAAAAATGCAGACGTTTTTGCAGCCCGTAAAACAACATTTCATGTTGAGGGGACAATCTTGATCGCACGTGCATCTGTCCCAGATATACACCGGACAATCGCTGCGCTTCTCGTAGAACGAACATCGACCAGGACGAATTCCTGCCAATGAAAGAAAGATAAAACTACATTAATCTAATACACCACTTATGTATATGTTTGAGATTTAATTGGTTGCGTAACTGATAGCGGTTAAATGTTTAAGTTTTCAATCCTTTGCTCCTTTGAAAAGTCGCAACTAAGGGGGCAGGGCACCAAAACAAAAGAGTTAGCCTAGTATGGATACACTACCTTCATAAGGGGGGTGGGAGGGGAAGAGTTAGACTAGAAGTGTGGTCACATCAACTTCATAAGCTGGTCAGTCGATTAAAGTGCATGTTTGCAACTGATTAGCATAACTGAACAACTGCACAAAAGTAATTTGCCAAGTTCATCCAGTGTGGCAGCTACAACGTCACATAAAAACCAGTGACTGGGCTTCCTGCGTTCTCACATATGCACGTGCTACACCAGCCAGCAACACCAGCCATTTAATACTGAGACAGGACAGTGTTAATTTACATATTTGGAGAAATTTTTCATCTTAAATCAAATATGTATATACCAATTAAACTAAGCATTTTAAACTAATAAAGCACACAGAATTTTATGTACCATAAAAATAACTCTACATTTAGGTTATTTCCAGGCTTTGCAACAACTCGTTTCAAAATTTCATATACGCTTATCAGTAAGCTTTCTACACTGATATACGATAAAACACATATTTAATATTGCCGTAAACTTAAATGTATCGGCATAAACAAAATAGCTAATGGTACAGCCAGCTTCTAGCTTACTTGAAGTGTGATTCTACAAATACTTTCCATACAGTCTTTCTCTAAAACAAGTGTTGGTCCAATGTTGGTCGTCTAAAATCAGGTGTTTGTTTTTTAGAATATTGCACACTTATAAACGCAAGACGAGCTGAAATTTCGATACTAATCAAACCCTCTAAGAGTTATAAAACCTTGTTGTGCTTCGGTAATCCTGAAAAATCCTTGCTTTTCTTAAAATTTAAGTTCTGTTCAAAGAGTTCCACCACACAGTTCCTTCAACTGCCTTGTTGCCAAGCAGTCCACAGGTAACCCAATAGTGAGAAGTGAGTCAACTGTGACGTCATCAGGTTTACGAATCCACTAAGTTTTACTTGAACTATGTTTTCAAAAAGATCTCAAAACTATCTATTTCTTATTGATTAAGTCTCTAGTTAATGCGCGCTAGTTTTCTTATACACGAACATAGCATACTTACATGTCAAGGCTCKTCAAGGCTAAAGTAGAATTAGTATGAAGCGGCTCACCGCACGGTAACAGCACGCGATAGAATAAGAATTTTTGTCGTTTCAGATCAAGTGCCATGTCCGTGAGCATAAATTCTTTCTTACTAATAATCCTTCAAAAGACAATAATTTAATGATATGCAATACCGGGCCTAAGATGCAAAACATTTGTTGGAAACATCACGGTTACGGTAATTGCACGCATGTCCTCATCTCTATACACGTTAGTTATAATAATAAAAAATTCTAATTATAATTTCCAAGTAAATAATTAAAATGCGATGTCGCCTTCTCAATGTTCAAAACGAGACTGGTGTGATTCTAGGGTTGAATTTAGGAACGCACTCGGAATGGCTTAACTTTTTGTCGCATCATCATAGTTAATTATTAATAATGTGGTATCATGAGGTCGTTACCACTTCTTCTTGGAACGGTAAATTGCTTTCCTTTCCCACTAAAATCCTTTCAAAGGCCAAGTCGTGTGACCAAACAGGAAAGACGTTATAGGGAGACTTGGAAAACCTTCAATATTTCTAAGCCAATCAAAATCCAATGAGAAACGTTATCGAAATAATGATGGGGAAAGAAGTGGAAGCAATGATGTAACTATCATATTTACAAAAGCCATATTGAATGGCTATACAGTAGTGTTTTGGACAGCCTACCCCAAAACTATAGCCCAATACGTATAGTACGGATAGTATAAGCACGATAAGGACAGTTAGCGCATATTGTTATTTATCAGCGCCGGCTCAGACATCTATAATGGCGTTTTCTCCGATCCAAAACCTGTCACGCTACAACCCACGCGGCACATACTGTTGCATCCCTTGCACGCATGCCTGCCAAATGTCATCATAAGCCATCCCTCCATGCTTTATATCAGTCAGGAGGTAATAAAATACGTGGGGAAAGATGTCAGCGCATTGCCTATTTTATTTTTAGTCGGAAATAAAAAACTGATTATCATAAAACAGGTCGAAATAATAAACTTGCCGACCTTCAATAACTATGACCTTGGATGCTATCTGCAGTTAGTATTGCGAGAAGACGTATGCAGTAAACTAACTGAGCAAACCAAGGCGATCATTGTTTTGATAAACATAACAGTGGGGCGAAAGCCTAACGGATGTCGCACCGAGTTTTTGCTCGTCTATTAGATAAACTATATTACTTTTATGATAAAAAATAATCACGGTATTTTGGTTTTATAGATAATGTACGACCATAAAAATAAATAAATAAATAAAGCATAATGGAAAAATTATCAGGATAGAAAATTAAGAGTACAGAATTAATAAATATTCTAAGCTGAACGTAACACTCTAATTTATCAATTATTATTTAAAAAAATTATCAAATGTTTAGATCTCTCATTAACGTTCCTACACAAAATATCTAGACTTCAATAAATTCAATGTTTACGTTAATAGGATTATAATGTTTCTTATCAGGCGTACTTTCAGGACATCTTCGTCTGGCATTTATGAAAACTATAATCACGAAAAGTTTTAACTCAGTAAAAAGTAATTGCTTTTTTTCCTGTTTATTATCTTCCCCGCTCCTTGTCGAAACTTCTTGAACTTCTCGCTTTAATTGATAACATAATATCAAAGTTTAATGAAAGCTCTAGAAAAATTGGCTCTTGAAAAACTGATCTGTTCACGCAATATCAAAATTATACACGTAACTCCCATTTCTTGGGAGACTTAATGAGGGGAAAGCAAAGATTTTCGTATAGAAGTTCTACAAAAATGCTTAAGACATTTGTCAGTTATTATAGAGCACTTTAGACGTGCACCTTAGGCAAATCTTTGGAATTAATATAACCTAAATTATTCGCTAAACACACTTCTTTATAACACTACTTACGTTGCCCATTACAGACCCCAAAGCCAAGTATAAAGGCCAGAAGCAGAAAGAAAGTTTTCATCTTGCAAGCCCAGAGAGCTTTGGCCTCCAGTAAAGGCGTGAGCAAGAAACGTCGTCGTAGTGAGTTCCTAGCCGTTCCTTATCACCGGCGTGACAACAGTTCGACATGTATTTCCTTACACGACAGACGTGGACTGTGCAAGGTCTGTTCAGGTTAGAAGACCCCGTATGTAGGCGATTCTCCGGCGATACTGAAAAGTTACGGATAGACCTATCACCTATCACCCACGTCTACCGATGAAGTTATCCAAAACTCTGTGAATACCCTTCAGTAGAGATGAGCACTTGATGGCATATCTTAATAGGACTAATAGCCTAGAGCATGCTTGATCGAGTTCACAGACCAAATCGCTAAGGACGATTTCCGGGGATTGACACTTCCGGAATAAACTAAGTCAAAAACTAAGAGAGTATTCCGACTTTTTTTGGCGATCAGTCAGTAGGAACTATTACAGCTTTATCTAATAAGGGCGTGTGAATTGTCCAGAGCAAATAAAAAGAAAATTGCTGAAATTTTTAATGCGTAAAAGGTATATTTTTCAAAATTTTGCCGGTCCGTTACTGCCGACGTTTTCAGATCTTACAAGTCGAGTCTAGAAAGTTCACTTTGAACGTGATACCCGCGAAAACCACAACAACAAAAAACAACAAAAAAAAAACAACAACAACGGATACGATATTCTCTATTAGTTTTCAGAGGTTTTTTGATGCTAAAAGCGCGGTTTTTTCATTTCCTTAGGGCGTGGCGTATAAACAAGAAATAAAATATTTACATGACCGAATGATAGAACAGTTCCATAAAATCAAATGAAATATTTACATGACCGAATGATAGAACAGTTCCATAAAATCAAATGAAATATTTACATGACCGAATGATAGAACAGTTCCATAAAATCAAATGAAATATTTACATGACCGAATGATAGAGCCAGAGAAACGTTGGTTTTTGACACAGATCTGTTAGATTAAGAAGGCATCAAAAAGTTCCATAAAATTTAATGAAACTCTTAAAAACCTTTTATCTGTGAGCGTTTTGACGAGCGTGCATGTAGACAGGAGAGTTGCTTGGTTTTGTCAACGTGCTACGTGCAGGACGGATGAGTAGGAGCACCGCAATCCTTTCCACCAATCCACATAAGCCCTTTTAGCTTGGGCGCAATTTCCCATTTTAGAGCGCGTGTCATTATCCTAATGAATAAAGGTTCTTTGTTTGAGTTGTATCCATATTCCATCATGTGTCTTTCTCGTGCGCAACCAATAAAAAAACAAATGATTAAAGTGAAGTAAGCTATAGATACACTGTTTTAAGATACTTTGAGCTTTCGACTCCGACTGGAGACTTGATTGCTAAGAAATGATGGCTCTTGGAAATAACTTGTTTTCTGAAATGGGAAAACACTCTACGCCCAAGCTAAAAAGGTCTATTAAATAGGATGTTAGCGTTTATATTCAAAACAAAGTCTTATTAGAGTCATTCACCAGCAATGGACAAATCTCTCTCAACATCAATTAGGAACCGGTTGTACGAAGCCCGAACTAAGCTATTCCTGGATAAAGTTTAACCGCTGAATTAGCTCTGAATAAGGGTTTATCTGGTGGATAGTGCCTATTCGAGCTTCATACAAACGGCTCTTGCCGGCTGTTTACAAAATAATAAGCTAGGAAAATTCAAAGTGTGGGGCAAGTGAGAATAAGGGCGTGGCTACCATGATGACAAGGGACGTCTTTCGTATCTCTCTCATTTTCAAGTCTGTTTACGGTATACAAACTGTTTAAAATCTTAGCTGGTAACTCATATCATGGAGATCCCGATATATCAGTATTATGTTGTCGTGTCAGCTCAAGGTCAGTGGATTAGACAAGAGATCGGGCTGAAGCCTGTATGCATGTCGTGCTGGCCGGTGTGACCGGGAGTTACCCGATCTAGTCGCGTGCTAATCTATCGTCCATGATTCTACACGCAAAACATCTGTGAGGATATTTGCTTACGTTTTTCGCTTTTTGGAAAAAATAACACATTTTCCAAGGCTGAAAGCAGCCAGCGCAATCTGAATTTTTTTCAGAGCTCGACTTCTGATCAGCGAAAAATGTTTCATCGTTTGCTCACCTTTTCAGAGGTTACATTCTCAAAATGATTGTCTGTTGATCGCATGCAAATCCCTCTTGGCATCTTGACAGTCTGTGTAAAGAGCCCAGTCTTAGAGTGTTTTAAACCCCTATAATAAAGTGGTACTATATTGGAACGACCTTGAAAAAATAAACTAAAGTTTAGCTCCTTGTGGATGGATAACCTCCCAACCTGCTCTCGAGATGCAGTAATATTTAGTTATAGGTAATCGCTTTTAAATAGCATAGATAAATTGACAACCCGTAGTTTAGTTATTTCATATGAAAGCTTCCTATTTATAAATTATACTCCAAAGTTGTGTGTTGATAAAGAAGTTTGATAGACCATTACAGCCTGAAGGTTAGAGTCACCGACCCACTCCAACTGGTTTTCAAACATCATTTTGTTCTGTTAAATACTCCATTACTTCCCTTGATTAAGGATATTTGCCAAAGCTGATGACCTTTCCACCTATCCCGTCTATATTGATACGTGTGTTCCAAACGCATACTTTACTCTTGCTCGTTGGTTTACCTGTGGTTTTTAAAACGGAAGTGACGCAAAATAACATGGAGGGTGCGCACGCATGTGAAAAGAATTGGCGGGCTTTTCGCGGCAGTGAAATCCATTTGCTTCGATCGTGCATATTACGATGTTAGATGACAATTATCTTGTACAAACTTGATTATACTCGTTGGATTGGCTAGAATCCTCTAATTTTCTATTGTTTTTGTCCAGTTCTTAGTAATAGGTAAAGAAGCGAGGTAAGTTTTCTTCCATTGTACATTCATTGCAATCGAACTCGTAGATCCTTCGTCTTTGACCATGGATCTTCGACTTATCAATTTCTAATATTTAAGCTTATTGATTGCATATAATTGAATATTTTTTGGTTTATTTATTTAAGCGATTCTTCTAGCCACAACTAGTACTATGAACCTTCTGTAGCTCTAGTCTGATTTGGAGGCAAATATTCTTTAGAGGATTATTCGCCAAAATGAAATATAGCGAAACCTCTTATAAAGTTCCTCTTGCCTTTAGATCTTTGCTTGTCGAATTTCAGAATAACTTTAGGTTATATTTAATACCAGGATAAAAAATTTGGATCATGATCGAAGACGATAAAACATCAGCTTGATTTAGTTTAAATCTGTCTTTGATCAATCGAATTGTCTACATGACGTACACATAAACACAGGCCTAGGACTTGTAGTGTCGTAGTTTAAGCACGAAAATGATACAGTGATTTCCAAAAGAAGCAACATTTGAATACTCTATAGGGTCAAGGAAGGAGTAGAGTACCCAGGGTTGCTTGGAAGGAATGTTGGAGTTTTATTTTGATCGGAATATGTTAGTGAAATAGAAATGTGTTTTGTGACAGATGGAAAACCTCAACGGGATGAACCAGTACCTCAACACAGAGATAGTGTGTACCTTAGCAGGTCTTGGTTATGCTGAAGGAAATGAGTACTACAAGAGTCCCGATTGTCTGGGTGAGAAGAAATCTAATAATAACGCTCAACACCCCCCCTCCCCAACCCCAACTTAAGGGAGCATTTAGTTTTTAAAAGGGGTGAGTAAGGGCCAGAGGAATAGCTGTAAACATGTGTTAGCCCCCCAATTTAGATTTAACATTTTGAAATGGTCCTACAATACTTAACTAATAAAATGGTAATAACTGATTAAGCCCCCACACACATTTTGTCTAGTACTACTAAGATATATACCACTTTCCCCACTCAAAAATAAATTATAATCTTGGGACCTCAAGAAGGGTTGTGGGGAGTGGAAGGGGGGAGCGGTGGGGTTGGGAGAGAGACCAAAAAATCATTATCAGTTAAAATGGATCCGTAACTCTGTAATAGAGAAATCTTTTCACTTCACATGAAAAAAAAAAAAAAAAAAAGTAATAGAATATTAATAGAAAAGATATTTCTTTTTAGAGAGCTTAAAGGATCTAATCAAGTTTTTGCGTCGCGATGANTCAAGTTTTTGCGTCGCGATGATTCAACCTGTGAGGTCAGACGACAGTTGGGTTGTTCAAATGTTCTGCAAAATGTAAGTCCAAAGCATGTAAATGTTAAAATGGGGATCCGTAACTCTGTAATAGAGATATTTTCACTTCAAATTGAAAAAAAAAAAAAAAAAAGTAATAGAATATTAATAGAAAAGATATTTCTTTTTAGAGAGCTTAAAGGATCTAATCAAGTTTTTGCGTCGCGATGATTCAACCTGTGAGGTCAGACGACAGTTGGGTTGTTCAAATGTTCTGCAAAATGTAAGTCCAAAGCATGTAAATACTTCGATTTTGAATAGTCCACTTCTGAGATATTCTTCGCTTGTCACACATGGGAAATTAAATCTATTCTTTTCTCCTTTCATGAATCACTGAGCATTATGCACAAGCCTTGCAATGAAACTTTTTTTGTTTGACAAGCAAAGCATATATTGGAAGTGGGCTATTCTCTGTTGTTCATGGTTTGCTTTGAATTCCTATTAAATTATTTTAAATATTCATACATTCCATTAAGCCAGTCAAACAGTTCCTAAAGTTGTGCATTCTTTACTTTTGCTGTTGGTACCTCTTTGGGGATATTCTGACGCTAAAATGAGGCTAACAATACGTAAATTAGTCTAATTTTTTTGGTCTATTATTTTTATAATAAAAAGCACATGTACTGCAGTACACTTGTATTGTGTAGTATAAAAATTATGACTGTGAGAGGATAAACTGTGGAATCTTGTATTGTAGGATCTTGTTGCTATTCTAAAGAGCTGCACACCCAAGGAAGGTGATATATTTAATATGGTAATAAGGTAAGAGTAGCTGTCAATCATGTTTTTTAATGAGGGGGGGGGGGAGGTACAATATTGCTGTTTGAAAATTGGTTTGATTCTATACTATTACTTTAACTGTTTATACAGCTATTTCAATAAGGTTAGTGGTTGCATGTTGCATTAACTTGCATGTTGCTTGCTGCTTACTAAGCTTGAAATGTACTATATTAACATGTAATTAATGATGTCAACACTGATGAAATTATGTCAGAAAGACATGCAGGCAAAGTTTGGGATAAATTTCATATTGTCACCTATTACTAATCGCATTCATATCACCCATAGTGCATTTCAGGCTTGGTATTCAGCATAAAACAGAACTTTCACCAACCATTCTTGAAATAGCTGTATCAATTGACGTATATATGTTAAACTGACCTATGTATGTTGTTACTTATTTATATCAAGACTGATGGTAAACCTGACCCAGCCTGCAGTTCTATGTTGGGAAGGACAAAGAGTTCCAGATGACAAGACTGGACAGCATTACCACTTGGAGCTTGTCAACTACCTGCAAGGTTACAAAGAGGTAATGTCTTTCTGAGAAGCAAAAGATATTTGAAAGTAATTAATAGGAATGTACATGTACCTGTGCTACATGTATATCAATAAGCTATTACAGATGCCAGGCTGTCAAAATATGATATCGATGAAAAAGACTCTAACCATTCCATTTCAATCATGAAACTAGGGTTACAGCTTTGTTAGCAACTGCGCTACCCTAGTAATGAGAATGATTTAACATAAACACCCATAGTTATAATAATTGATCTTGTATGATACAACTGTATCTTATATTATTTACATATTTTATGTATTTATAAAGGCCTTCACTGATATAGCAGTCATGGCAGCTATTGGCAAAGAACTTGCAAAGCTTTTACAAAAGGTTTGTAACTTTTCATGACAGCTTAAAATGCACTTACTTTCCTCACTGACACAATCTTCATTCTTAAATACTTTTAAAATATTTGAAATATAATGTACACACTGATTGGCTGAGTGGATAATATCTTGCATGCTGATTGGCTGGCTATTATGTTTGAAGACAAATGAAAACCTCACACAAAATTGCTCAAAACTATTTCATAAAAGCAATATAAGACAGTTGCTTATGTATATGTATTGTGTTATACACTCTCTGGAAGCTGTAATGCTGCCACTCAAAAAGTAAAGAAACACGCTTGCTTCTCTTGTGCTCTACAGCTCTCAGCATGTTTATACAGTATATCACAGAACAGAGACATGCGCACATTTTATATTTCTTAAATACAGGTATATAAAGGTGTCAAATGCATTCAGAGTTTAGATTTTCATAAAAACAACATTTCTTCTACAGGAATGGGAGAGTAGAGATGAGGAAGATTACTTGGTGATAGAAAGAATCTTGCTGCTCATCAGGAATGTTCTTCATGTGCCCTTCAATCCTCAAGCAGAAAAAGTATGTTTTATTTGTTCACATAATTTTATAATTATTCAATGTACTTATTGCTACTAGTCACCCTAATATTATTTACTACTGTATGATATCTCTGTTGCCCAATGCTTGCCCAACGTATGGCCATGCAATAGTTGACCAGCACTTGGCCAACACATGTCCAAAAGTCAGGTGATAGTTGGGTGGTCATAAAGTACATGATTTCCTCAAGGACAACAAAACATGCAGCATTTAGTATTATTAAGATATCTAGATGTGGGTAAAAATAAAGTAGTTATTGGCTAATCAGAATGCACTTAGTAAGATGACTTATGTTTTTTTTCTTCAGAGAACTGACGATGATGCAAGTATCCACGATCAAGTGATATGGTAAATATTTGCTCACTTGATAGTTAAAAATTAAGAAAAAAGTAATAAGTAGGTTTAGTGAGTGGTTGAAAAATAATGTAAGACAGAATTTTTTGTTTGTATTTGCAGGAGCTTACATCAAAATGGTATAGATGATCTACTGCTTTACATAGCAGGATCTCCTGATGAGGTAAGGCAAAGTACAGTAGCACTTGTAGTTATGAGTAAAGATTATATAAAAATTTTAAAATTTTAATTTTAAATAAAAATTGATTAAAAATTACCAATGATACTTGTTTTATCTACAGAGGCGATGGTGTATGCACACTCTGGAGATCATATCTTTGATGCTAAGAGAACAGGTAAGTGTTAAAATTAATATATTAAAGTGGTTTAGTTGCTTCGTAAAATGTACGTATACCTTGCTGACTCTTTCATACAGATTTCCCCTTTTTTGTGACCCTCTAAGCTGGTTGTTAGTCATATTATATCCATCTGTCTTCAAATTAAAAGTTTTTGGATTAATTATTAGAAGTTTCTTTATCATCCTGTAAAGCAGGGATCATGAGGGGGGTGGGTTAGGAATGGACCAATCACAGCTAAGAATGATGTTATTGTCATGTGTAAGGGTGTCACACAGGTGATGGCCATGGTGACTAGTAGGGCAAGTCACTAAAAGGCTGTCATGTTAAATAATGGTGGTGGTTCACAATCAAGTCTCTGCAATCTATCTCTGGGCTATACCCTGTCAAACATATTTTWAAAAAATATTCTTATGCCTTTCTTTTGTATGTAGAATCCCGAGAGCTTGGCAAAAGCTGGAGGAGAAAGATCACAAAGTGAAAAACGCGAGGACGAGAAGTGAGTGATGCATTAAGGAGTAGAAAAGTAGAATTTGGCCAAAAAATAACACCCTCGTTTTACTTTTTTTTTCAATCATCAGACAACTACAGATCTTAAGGGAGAGAGAACTGGCTGAAAAACGGAAAGCTACTTTGAAATACACTGGAAGGTACAGCTGTACAGTAAATTCTTTATGTTATGAGTCTTGCCAGTTTCTTTCATTCTGTTGATTTTCTTTTGTGTTTGTACATTTAGGCATTCGAGGTTTGGAGGGACTTTTACTGTGAAGAATATGATGTCAATAGCTGATAAGAGAGAAGTCATTTACCACAAGAGCATAGCAGGTATGAAAATGTCAAATCTGCTAAATTAGGATGCATGATAACATACAATTTATGAGTTCCTCAGCCCTCTTCCTGATATATTCGTAAAAATTGTTTTATCCTTTCTTTGTCAGATGCAAAGAACATGTCATTCGACAAAGAGAAGAACGCACCCAAGAAGAGAAAAACTCAGGTCATTGCAAAAGAAATGTCTGTTGAGAGAAAGTCAACTCTAAGCATAAGGTACCATTTGCTCATACGAACATACAGATGTAACATACATGGAATAATATCCACTTTAAACATGCATTAATCCTTTTGAATTCTTCCCTGTAATGCGAATTTATGATTTTATAAAGGCTGTTCTTGAAAGACTTTTGTAAGGAGTTCCTGGAACATTGTTATAATCCACTCCTGTATATTGTCAGGGTAAGTTGTGGTTTTGAATTCAGTATTTAGCTCTCTGTCATGTGGTTGCTACTGTAAAAGATCATGTCATTGTCTGTACCTACCTGAAACATCAAATTGAATCACAGGCTAACCACTCTAATAAATAAAGGAAATACTCTAATAAATGAAAAGAAACACTATATGGTGTCTTGTCTTTCTCTTTTTATGCGCGCGCTATCGATTTTTTGTCATCTCCCCTACCCCCCCTTGGTAACAATTTTGTTTTTCTACTATACAATATACTAACAAGGAGTAGCTAGCCTGTGATTGAATCCTCAAAATTACTACTTAATCCTCAAAATTACTTTCAAAGGATAATCTATTGCATGAAAGGTCACAAGAAAATGATGAAAGTTACTTCTTGTGGGCAATGAAGTTCTTCATGGAGTTCACCAGACACTATGGCTTCAGGGTGGACTTTGTTGGGTAGGTACACGCTCTTTCTCAATTTATTTCCATTAAACTATGGAATACTTGTTGAAAATAAAATTGGAAAGCAAAGATGTTTTAAACATGCATTAAGGGGATGATAAATGTACATGCAATAAATGTATGATTTTTTCACAATGTGTCAGTAATATATATATTTAAAACACTCATTAATAATTCATAAGCTTTTTGGTCCAATTGGAGCCACCATACACGTCACGTGCATGAACCTTTATACCCGATAAAGTCCTCTTCATTAGTATTCAAGTGATTTTATATAAAGACACATGTGTCTTTATATAAAGACACATGTGATCTTTATATAAAGACCACTCGAATACTATGAGGATGACTTCATCAGGGATGAAGTATGCATCCAAGTTTAGATGAAGACAGAGCTTCATCAAGGCCATAGTCAACCCTAAAGATCTTTGACTAACGTGCCTGTCTTTGCCTTGGCACGCAATATCCAACGTGTGGGAGCTTCTATTGAATCTGGTTGCGCATGCCCGTGACGTCAAATCTCTATCAAAGTATAAAAATCCATGTTCGTGACGTGTATGGTNAGTTGAACCAAAATCTTATAAATTGTTCATGAGTGTTTTAAGCAGTTCAAAAAACTCGTAGATCGTGTTTTATCAGGTATAAAAGCACGAGGCGTAGCTCGTTTTTTAAACACTACATAGTATGTTGTGAGGTTTTTAAGTTGAATCAAAAACTTGCAATGTGTTGCCGAATCCGAAATTCATTGCATGTGACATGTTACATGCAATCAGTTTTTGGTAAAATCACGTTACAAAAACAAGTCACTGCAAATTGTGCGTGGCATGCTGTCTCTCACTATTGTAGTCATGATTGCAATACATCCTTATTAAATCCACTATCATTTGTGGGTGGGTTCTTGATAGTTCTCTCCTGTTTTTCAAGGGCTTTTCACATAATTTTCCTGTTTTTTTTCGTCCTTCTGCAAAAATCGGCAATTCAAAATTCCAATTAAATCAATAGATTGACACTGAAATAGCAAAATGGATCGTTATGCTGGTTGAATATACTAATCTTTTCTTTTCCAGAGAAACAATGAGTGTGTCAAATTTCCAGTATGTGCTCAAGATTATGATGCAATATTATGAGAGTTTCCTGGAAGATAAAAAAGATCCAGTGACGTGGGGAAGAAGGTTGGTAGTACTTTCAGGGTGCAATGTCGAACCTCATCAGTACCTTGGCTAGTCTAATAGGCTCTATCCTTAAGAATGGAACTCTTTGTTGGGGTCTTATCCATATCAATGTACAGTATTAACCCAAGACTTCCTAGTAAACAAAGAAGTAATACTCAAGGGAACGATATGTGGTATTCAATGGGGAAATGGATTGGCTGTATTCAATGGATTGGCCGTATTCTTGTTTCCTCTGTCTTTCTGATGTGTCTTCTTCATAAGGCCATGAAATTGAGTTACATTAAACGTTAAGTATGAGTTTTCCGTTCCCAGTCTGTCCAAAACGTTTCTCGAAATCACTTTTGATGTATAATTATCTATTTCCAGGCTCCATCTTGCTGTACAAGCCTACAAAGAACTGCTAATGTATGTTCTGTACATGGATGACTCAAAGGACGAGAATCTCAGGGAGAATGCCAAGGTCATTAAAGGTGAGCCTTTCAACCTCTTTGACCTCGTTTTGAAGTGTTTTAGCTTTAGTCACTTCTCACCAAATGTCGATGATTCATACACCGTTCCATAATGGCTGACCAGAGCACAAAAACAAGGTCTCCCATTCCTGTCGCAAGGCTGAGCAAGAACGCTCAAAATAAAGGTGGATAGCGTGAGTTCAGGTCAAAACAAAAGGTCAATTTCTATACTTTTCTTTTATAATCGCATTTCATGTAATTTTATACCTTTTATTGTAAACTAATGACTGGGTGACCTCCATTTCGTGCACTTGTCAGCCGTTATGAGAACCGTGTATTTTACCTTGGACTTGCAATGAATTTCATCGCGTTAAATTTACTATCAAGCTCTTATTGACTCCTATTTGTTCTCGTTTAACAGCAAATGTGTTCTACGTGGTGGAATACCGCGAAATCTTTATGCTGTTGTTGCGAAAGTTTGACAAGTCAAAGCAGTCAAAGTACGTACCTCTCAAACTTGCGCTTCAGATGTTGTGTACGCTGTACTAATGTGTGTTTAGTTTCGCATTTGTATTGCGTGTCGCACGTTCGTAGCGTTTCTCTGTTGCGTAGCGTTTTGCTTGCACGTTGTTTACTGTTTTGCGTTTTGCAAGCGTGTTTGGTTTGTCGTTGCAAATGTGTATTGCGTTTCGCAAGTGCGTTGAGTTTTACATGCGTTGCGTTTCGTATATGCTAGGTTTTGCATGTGCCTTGCACTTTCTCTAATAAAAATAAATAAATATCTAGTGTCTAGTCGTTTTAGCGCTTTCGCACTAATTGGGGACACTTTTTCCGCTCATATCCACTACCACTACATTCAATATTCTATGCGCACAACGCTCAACTCACATGTTGATTTTTACGGAGGAATCCGGAGAAAACCCTCGTAGCATAGGAGAGAACAACACATCAAACAAACTAAATTCACATGTGGCGACCGCAGGGCTCGAACCAGCGACCCGACCCGTTGGACTCACAGCGGTGAAAGACGACGCGTTAGCCGCGAACGTCACCCATGCTACCCATGAATTCTTCAACTTGGGCCTACATTGTTTGTAGGAGAGTTTTACATTCCGCCCGAAGGATGAGCTTGCGCTTCACCTCTGACTTAGAAATATGTATTTCAGGGCCTACTTACGTGATTTAGTAGAAACATTCCACGTGTTTCTTAAGATGCTGGAGAGGTTTTGTTCTGGAAAAAATCACGTCATTGTTCAGGTAAACTCTTAACCGATAAAAAATCCGTTTAAAATTGTTGGAATTTCTAAACATTTAACCAATTTTGACTTCATCAGCAAAAGAAGAGAGCACGAAGAAAGAAGAAGAAATCGCGAAGGAAGAATCAAGGTAAAAATACATACCCACTGAACAATTAACAATTAGTCTTTTAGCCTGACTGAAGGATTCACGAACCATCTTTGTTTTGCTTGTTCTGCTGTACTAGTGAGCTTTCATTGGTAGCACAGCCAATCAGATACCCTTCTTGCAGAGGTCTTTTTCTGTCCCCCGACTAGCATATCGCTCAGCTACGGAGGGGAAGAAAAACAACCTCTGCACGTAGGGTACCAAACAGAGGACAAGTACAGGCAATCAGAATGTACAGTAGGCAAAGCAAATTAGAATGCGGACATGGCCAATCAGGATTTCTGACGGTCTGGTTCATGTCTGTGTCAGAGAAGGAGTATTACGATAATTCCTGCAAAACTATTAAAGTAACCTTGGATTATTTTCCTTTAGAAATGAGAGTCGCTTTAACTCCTGAGCAGGCCGATGCCATGTGGCAGGGCATGGCATCTGACTTGTCGTCGCTCCTACAAGGTCATGGTGGGGAGATTCCAGATTCTGCTGTGCCTTTCGACGCTGCATCAGATGTTACCATGGAACAACAAAGGTACGACAATAACCCTGAGTTCCGTGTCCACGGATCACCACAAGTTTGCGATCAACTAGCAAATTAAACTCCTAACCCTTTATTACTTGCGAAGGAAATTCTATATAGAGGCTTTGCACCATCACGTGATGGCAGCCATGACAGGAGGCAGGAACAATTGAATCTGGTCGAATCCGATTTACACGAGAAAGAATTCAGTTTCCCAGGGGAAAAAGGCTCTATTGTTGTGCCTCCTGTCATGGCTGCCATCACATGATGGTGCAAAGCCTCTATAGACCCTTTCTATCTTGGATGTAAAACACGTCCACACTAAGCCAACCAACCAACCTTACCAACAAACAATATACCAACAAACCAAAAAAACTTGTTTACCATATCTCTTAGGTTAACTGCGTTAAGTAAGATCCAGACCTACCTACAGGGAGGACAGTACGGTGACGCTGTGGCTTTATTGCGCGCAGCGAGGTAAGATCTCTACTTGGGATTTGTATCGATACAGCTATGTCTGACTGACTTCAGTTAGTTGTTTTTGATTTTTATAACATGTCTCATATTGGTCATCGGGTCTTGTTTGCTTTATTGGTGTTTTGTAGGGAAATATGGCCTAACGATTCGTTTGGAACTGCAGACATGGAAACAGAGGATGAATTCATGTGCCTTCATGATATTTTTAAAATGACTGACCTTCCTCAAGGTATACAATCTATCCTGTTATTGAAGTCATAATACCTAGCCAGCACTTGAAATAAATTACTATGAATAAATTGAAGTAACACACCTGAGTTTTAAGCTGCTATCAATTGCAGTGAAATTCAGCCAGAGTCTAGACCGTCCTCGAAAATGAGATTTGACCCCACCGTGCGGTGAGCCAAAATTTCCATTGGAGAATTTTGGGCAAAACGTTTTTTTGGAGCTAAACACTTACTGTAAGACCATAGTCTCCATTGACTAATGAAACTAACTATTCGTACAGCTAGCACACGCGCTACATATATATTTTTCACTTGGGCGCAGAATGATAATTGTTTTTCTAATATTCCCTTTTCTTTTCAGAAGTCACTTCAACGCTTGAAGATGATGCTGGAGACCACGAAGAAGAAATTCCAGCCGGTAAGCAATTCAACAATCACCATATTTGACAACAAGATGATAGTGGTCTTGCTTTACCTACTATTAGTATTGAAGGAAATAACGTGTCTGTTAATTTATAGAGGAAGAAGAGATGGAAGCAATAGTGACACGAGAAACTGAGTTTGATTATCAAGAATTTTTGAACAAGTTAGTAAATATATTTCTCTTTTAAAGATTAAGCGTTTTGTTCTGGATGCAACTCAAACTGTTTTTATTGACACTGATTTTCTTAAAGGTTGGCAAATCCTAGCATTCTTCAACCCTGCTGTTGGCTACTGAAATTTTACCAGGAAAACAGCGCCAAAACAAACCATTATATCGTTAAGATGCTGCATAGGATTGCTGTCGATCTGAAGATGTACCCCATGTTGTTCCAGTTATCGCTTTTTGTTGTATTCAACAAAATCCTTCAGGACAATGCTGCAAGCCTGTATAAGGTACTAATAAATGACATTAAGAGCAAGATTGGCTAAATATCTCAACAACATAGCCATTTTTAAAACTTCGAATTTTATTTTTCAGGAGCTGGTGACGTTTTCTCGGTATATTGTTGGCAAGTTCTTTGCATTGCTTCCTAAAAACCCTGTCTTGTGCGTAGAACTCCCAGTTTGGAAAAACGCTGACGCTTGTTACGAAATCACCGAGGGCTACGGTAGCCTAGAATTCAAGTAAGTTAGGTTCACAAAACCGTTTATGTACTTGCGTTGTAGCCATGGATATATTAGGAAGGCCAGGATAAAAGTCGATCTTATAACTTTATGAATCCTCTGTGTATTTTGAGCATCGTACAAAGAAAGTATTTCATTTGCGATATTCATGTTCCAACCAGAGATCGATTGACACAAAGCAAGTTGTGACGAACGTTTGTGAAAACGGTTGGCATATTGACATCACGATAGTTTTGCTAGTAAACATAAAGTATCGCTATTAGTGCATACCACTAAGTCCACTGTTGAAATGAAGTCCGTCATAATACTGATATAGTTTGACTGCCGGCGTATCCAACATGAAAACGTGAAGATAAAGGTTGGCTATTTCAATTAATTGCTCAATTCTGATGATTTCTTGTAGAAACGCCTCGAAGCCCAAGCACAAATCCACATTTACCTTTGAAGAGGAGGAAGAACTAAAAAAGTTGTACCATCAGTTTCAAGAAGAAGGAGGAGGTAACTGGAAATATGATCGCAATAGGAAATTATTTTAATAGTGAATCCAAAGTGGCTCTTGTTTCACTGAATGTAGAAGTGGATTTTGGCGCAGGGAGAAAAGCGGGAGAACCCTGAGGAATACCCTCAAAGCATAGAAGAGAACCAACAAGCAACTCTACTCGAAACTGACCAAGTCCAGGAATCAAACCCGGATGGCATTGGTGAAAGGCGAGCACTCTCACCGAGAAAGACGTCCGCTTATTTCATGCTTACAGGTGCATTCTTGAATCATATCTCAATTCTTTGCAGATGTGGTTGATAAGATCCTTGAGAACATTTCTGATGATACAAGGACTAGGAGACAGGTTGGTCATGAAATATCTTTCCTGGTGTTGTTTCTTAGATAAAAGAAGAGTCGGCTAACTATTTAATTTAGTCTTATAGATCAACTGCATGTAGTATAATGTGAGCCGTGCACTGATTTCACGGAGCGGTTTTTATATCTTGATCGATATGTGTTTTTGGTATTGTACATGTAGATTATCAATAAGTTGGTATCCATGAAGCTTGTGGAAGACAGAAAGACTTTGCGAAAGTAAGTGATAATAATTGATTGACTATAATAGTATGATAATCATTGGATCCATGGGACGGCGATAACTTAATAACGGAAAGATGATGATTGGGGAAAGGTGAGGGTGGATGATGATGAAACAAAATGAGTAGTGGCAGGAATGATGATGACAATGATGCCTGATTATATGGATGCATAGAAAGGTGATAATTGGGGTTAAGATGAAACAGAATGTTGATGAAACAGAATTCAATAGACACTGTTGAAAGTGCCAATGTTGATAAAAGAATTCTCGGTCATAATGAGATGAAAACTTACATTTATTCCTGTACACTCACTTCTTTCTATTCTGTGTAGCTTTAATTAGCTTTAAATACCCGTAAAAAGGAGCACTGATAGTAAGAGGGGGTAGAGGGCGCACCTTCCAGTGCATTAAACATGAGCCCTTGGCTCGGGAGAATTGGGCAACCACTCCCCGCGTTGTCGAAGTAAAATACTGTTTTCTAAGATTTGGTCTTACGTTATTACAGGAAATCCGAGAAGAAGAGTAACTGGTCTGAAGAAGAGGAAGATCAACTTAGAGCCTTGTACGAAGAATACAAGAACTGTGAGGATGGTAAGATATGGTTTAGATGTACATACAAGATAGAAGAAAAGCACCAGTGTAACCTGTATTAAACGGACTTAGCCGGGTGACCGTTTAATATAGGGTGTCCGCCTAATAGAGGTTTGAGGTTGGTTTACAGTAAATACAGTGGTACCTCTAAGCGGACACCTTCAGGACCTTGCCTGGTGTACGCTTAATAAAATGTGTCCGCTGAATAGAGGCTTGTTTTACAATAAAGACAGTGGTACCTCTATTAAGCGGACCCCTTCTGGGGTATATGTTCCATGGATGAATGCCATGGATGCACCCGTTAATAGTTGCGCACTTGCCTGGTATGTGTCCTTCGAATAGAGTTTAAGTCTTGTTTTACACAGTAAATATAGGAAGAAAATGTCGGGACCATGCAACTAGTGTCCGTACTAAATTTGAGTATTTTTTTCATTAATTCCTCAACCATAAACAAAAAGCGTTCATTAACTAGTTTAGTCATCCATATGCTTTTATTTCAGGAATCGTAGAGAAAATTCTCGAACATCTGACGCACACTTCAAGGTCTCGCCGACAAGTAAGTAATCTGGAAAACAGCCATAATTTGGTCAAAACATTTCGAATGTTTCCTGAGGACTGGATTGTGGCGAGTTGTTTATGAATGTGCCGTGGTATTTCAGGTTGTTAATCAGTTGGTTAAGATGGGTCTTGTTGAAGACCGCAAAGCCTTGCGTAAAAGGAGGAAACCAGGGCAAAGAAAGAAGAGGAGAAAGAACGCCGAGTACGAGGTAATTCAAAAATACACTAGAAGATAATAATGTAAAAGAACCATCGCAATATTTGGATTTATTTGGTTTTTGTGTGAAGAACCTGCAATGGTTATGATTACCGTATTTACTCGCCGCGGCGCTTATTTAATTTTTTTGGGTTTCATGCAGCTTAAACGTGACACTGGTCTGCAGTCAAGAGATGAGTTCTTGGCGCGTATGAGACACAAACCAACGTGGCAAGCCATCGCCCACCATGACTCCGACGATGATGCGGCGTTTTAAAATTCGGGGGCGGCGCTTATTAATAATTTTGGTCTTAGGTGCGGCGCTTATTTAAGGGGAACGTTTAATCGGAGCGGCGCTTAAACGAGTAAATACGGTATTTCCAAAAGAATTAAAAATATTCGTTGAACATTTGGTTTCCTGGATCACTGCGTGTGAGGTTTCTGGTCATCCAATCGGAATGCTCAGCAATTGCCCCGGCACGGAAACGGCACTGTCTGTCCGCAAGATTGGTTTTCAATGTAAATTACTAATTCTACTCAAAGTATGCAGTTTATGTTACGTCGTTCTTTAATACTACATTTTTCGTTTTGAATTTGTTTATACAGGACGGGGGATCTGAAGAAAACTGGGATGAAGGTAAAGCCTGTCTGTTCATTTTATCTAACAACAAGGTCGTGCTTGCTAACCCCTTATTCTCCCGATGTTTTTGAAGGGGGCCAAAGCAATAAGGAACACGTTGAGAGTGCTGCAAGTTCATCAGAAAGTGATTCTGATGATGATGATGACACTTACTTGTTTGTACCGATGACAACTTTAGTAAAGAAGATCAGAGAGCAAGGTATTGGTTTAACAGTTTCATTTTTTTAGGACATATTTTTTATAGACCCTCTTTAGACTTTCCAGTAAACCGAATTAAAATGAAATTCAAATATACGAAATCAAAAAGGATTAGTAACTATAAGTGACAGTTAACTTGCCGTATAAGATATAGCAAGTCCATAAAGTTGAATATTAAATGCAGTGTATGAAACCAGGAATCCATTAAACTGGACATCCTCAAAAGGTGGGAGGGTGGAGGGGATTCGAATGTTACATAATGGTCCTTTGTCGTTACAAAAAAAATAATGCAATTACCTCTCCTGGGGACAAGTCGAAAGCAGCCGAAAGATCGAATTAGAATATAGAGTTGATTTTTGTGGAGGGTGGAAAACCATTGTATTGTGTTTCTAATGAGATGATGAAATTGTTAATCGTACTTCAGGTCTTGGCGAGCAAATAAAATGGATTCAGGACAAACTCAGGAGAACTGCAGACGACAGAGAAGACGATGGTAAGGTCATAAGAAAAGGAATTCCCTGCACGTCTCAGTGACTGGGCATTTGGCTTTATCTCTTAGAGACGTCCGTCTTAGAGCGGTTTTTGCACAAGTGTGAAACGATACTGCAAATGCGTAGTCGTACTGTTGTTACCGTAGCCGTAACTCTTCGCTGTGATTTGCCGATTCGCACAAAAACAAAGGGAAGCCATTTTATTGTCACGGCATGTCGTACCGTGTACGTACAGTCTTGATTAAGTAGGTTTTTTTTCAGCCATGCGAAAACCATTCTAGATAACGTTAAACGTCATGTTAATAAAAGAATGCAATCTTTGCATCCCCAGTAAACAGCAGACAGGCGATACCTCTGGTAACCATTAACGAGGAAAACGAAGAAGCACTTGAAAATCGAGAATTTATTCAAATGTTGAAGAAGATTGGATTCGTACCACCAGCAAGTGAGCAGGTAAATGATCTTGGAAACAATATTCAAAATGGAATGCGGTCATGCAGAGGGTACCGTGTCGTCCCATTACKGATTGGATGGCCAGAAATGTTGCGACCTTTGAATGACTCGACCAAATTCATTAGATCGGTACAATAACCATTCCAGGTGACATTAGTTACACCTAAATAATTTTTTTTCAGCTTAGGTTTAACAAGGAGGCTTTACCCATTTCAGACCACGCGTCACTCCTAACGAGTATTACTACTTTCTTTACCGTTAAAACCTAATAGATGCTTTAGTAGTTCATAAGTATTGTGTGTGTGAACTTCTAGAAAATGAGAAAAGTGAGAAACGTCACTTTGTTAACTTTAGCTTAAGTTTGGAGGTAGAAAAAAAAGTTGGTTCTGAAAATATATGATTGTTGCTTTTGTAGGAAACATTCTGGCGCATTCCGAGTGGCCTCACACCTGAACAGATGCGCAAGTCAGCCGATGAACTGGACGGTAAATCCCAAGACTCTGCTGACAATAATGAAGGTTAGTATTTGAATACTACTTTTGGCGGTTTACGTTTCTGACGTGCAAAAGCTGAAAGCTACCTCTAAACTCAGGGTACCTGAGGATTTGTCGCTTGGAATTGCGCCAATACTTAAACCATTTACAAAATTGTTTCAAATAAGAGTTACAACAACAATAAAATGCCAAAGAAGAGGTCCCTGGTTATAGATGGGCTTGGGGATTTTTCAAAAATTCTTTGAACTTTTTCTTTTAGTTCCGATTCCGTCTACCTCTCCTTCTGCTATCAAGTCAAACCAACGTAAGAATAAGTTAGCTGCTCTTGCCGCTGCACGARGAGAACACAGCACGAGCGCAAGAAAGAGGAAAGAAAGAACTGAAGGAACAGCAAAGCGGACGCCCCGAAGAAAAGAGAAGTCAGCATCGAAGGGAAGAGCGTGGAGGAAGGCTTTCGCCAACGACGCGGACAATTCTGATAGCGAATTGAGTGAAAATGAAAGGTATGTTCATTTGAATAGCTCGAGTGATTTTACTTTCTACGTGAAACATTGTAAGTTTTTGTTTAATGCAGTCCACTACAATCTCAGTGCATTTTGCGATCAAACTTAATCAAACTTACAATCATATTACGTTTTGATAGAAATGATAGTGAAGAGATAAGTGTAAACGGGGAGGTTTCCTCAACCAGCAAGAGTCCCACAAACCAAACGACAACATCCCAGAAAACTAAGAGACGAGTACGTGCGTTCACTGAGAGTGACGAAGAAGAGCAAGAGGAGGAAAAGAATGCTAATGATGAAGAACCGAATGAAGAAGCAGGAGAATTCGTAGGTAAGGAATGGCCATATGGTAGCTTCCCAAAGTTCTCAAGTGTATACACCTACACTGTATTTCAAAAAGGCTGTCGGAAAGGCTGGCCCCCTTTGGCCCTCCTGGCTACGCCCTTCAATATTAGTAATGATTGTGAATGTTAGTACAAGGCAAGACTTTCAAGATATTTTGTTTTTCAGATTCTACCAAATCCCCCGCGGCCAAGTCAAAAACAAATCAAGAAAAAGAAGACAAAGCAACAAAGAAAAGAAAGTTTCTTCTGGAGGAAAGTGATGAAGAAGAGGAGGATGGAGACAAACAAAATCCTGTAGAAGGAGGCACCAATACTAGAGAATCATCATGTGCGCTTGTAGATGACGACCAGGACGACGACGACGACGATGATGATGATGTTCCACTGACGATTCTCAAGAAAAACACTCTTGAGGAAAAACGAGATGAAAACAAAAATAATCTAGAGAGTGACGAAACGACCGCTAGAGGTAACGAAATCCGTACCAAACGACCACGAGTGACCGACGATGCAAGTGATGATGACGAAGATGATGTTCCTTTAGTCCATCACAAGAAAATACGCAAAGTTGTTCTGCAGGACGACGAAGAGGATTAAATACTGAAAATGGCAATTTATCGATTTTGTTTTGCTACAAAATGTACATTTGATACGATAAACGGTTATCTTTGATCCTTGGTGTTTTCGCGTTTATACAAAATTCGCGTGTCGTTTCTGATGACTAGCATATTTATTTACGACATTACCTGAAAAATTGACATCTACAAATTACTAATATGCATGAGTTTCAAATTTGGCAAGTTCTATATTCTGTAGATTTGAGTTTGTTATTAAAACTTATTACATAATCGCCAGGGATTCAATCATAGTTAATGGAGTGGAATGGTTTGGAAACTCCATACACAAAGCCATTGTTTTACCTTTGATGTTGAATCGTACCATCACGTGTTACTGACGGTGCACAATGAACCAAAGCAAGTATGGCTGAAAATGCTCATTTCCTTATTATTTTCATGTATGGACATTTTGAAAGTAAAAACTTTCATTCCATGACCACAAACCATGGGTATAAATATTTCTGCGCAGATACAGTTAAGTTACTAGATGATAAATAAGAAAGCATTAAAAAGGGCAATTTCATTTTCAATAAACAATTAATATTAATCACATAGGATTAATTAACAAATAATACGTATTTTAGAACGATTTTTAAGGGTAAAAACCTTTTATATTCCCTAATACTGTGAACAAATGGAGAAACTTCCTTCACTGTGCACTGTCAACATCATATAACAATGGATAAAGACGAACAAAAACATAGAACAATAGGTTTCCTAACCATTCTGCTTCATTAACTATGACTCAATCACCGTTTTCGTTGGTCTTGATCGACAAGGAAGTAAATTCGTTGAGCAATTGATCTACACTTTTCCTTATCTTTGGTTTTAAGGTATTTACTTTGCCTTGAAATCTTGTTTTCTTTCCTCCACCCTTACCATCCAGTAGTGATGATATCCTATGAACACGAAATGTGTTAATGAGAGACAATACAACCTTACAATGATAGAGACATGTGAATAATTGTCCAAGTCTCTATCATTGTAGTGGCGGATCCAGGGGAGGGGTGCAAGGGGTGCGCACTCCTCGAGGGTTCGACTTTGTGCCCCTACTTCAAAGATTTAACTAAAACATAATTATGTTTTTTCCCTTTGATTCTAAGGGGTGCACTCCTCCCTGAGTTAACTATGTGCGCTGCACCCCTTCCTGAACAAATTCCTGGATCCGCCCCTGCATTGCAAGGCCATTGTCCTCCATGCACAGGCACAGTTACCTTTCGAGATGGCACGGGGAACAGTGAAGGGGACATGCATAAAACAGCCACTATGTTTATGATTTTGACAGATGATTCAACATTGCATATGGATTACATAATTATCCACAACACTTTGATGCTTGTAGTTTGGTTCCCCTACTTTACATGTTCATTTACTTACTTTGGTCCAAGTTCTGCAACCTGTTTTTCTGTCCCAATAAATAGGAATTGACCAGGTCCCTTATCAGGCCCTACTGTGATAAGAAGTGGGACACCCTATAAAAAGTACCAACATAATCATACGAGTCTAAATATTGTGTTTAATGTTAGTAAGCAGAAATTGATAAATAAAATAAACTAGTACTATACAATGATGTTTCAAACTGTCTTTGGCAAGACCTTCAAAAAATTCAAATGGGAATATTTGAAAAAGAGAGTAAGTTTTTTACTTCATAGTGACTTCAATTTACTGTTATGTGATTGAGCCAGTGTATATGGTTTGCCCATTTAAAGATCAATACTCCAATATTTATTGAGAGGGGAGGGGGGGGGGATTGGCACATAACCCAACATGGTCTAAAATAATGCCAGATATAATAGTAGTGAGTAGTTGGGGTCATATTTACATATTACTGACCCATTAGCCTTGCTCATGCCTTGAAAACCAATAACACATTTGACTGTGGATCAACCATAATAATTAAATAATATCCAGACTCACCAAATCAGCCAGTTCATTGGATACTGAGTTCATGTAATCCATGTCACCATTCTCTCTGTGAAAGTAAAGATTTAAATTTTCACAACCCAGTCATTTTAGGCAAATATTTTTGTAACATGTCCATACTCTCACTGCGCTGAATGTATATGTCTGTAGTGGAATTGAGTTGTCTCAGACCTCTGGGGGACCAGGAAAAAGGTTCAAAATAATGGGTGTTTGAGTTATCCATTGCATAAGTGACATACTGGTAACATGCTAGCCAATGGGGTGGTCACTGCCAGGGTTTCTTTACATCCTCAGTGGTTCTTTTACATCCCTCTGATATTGGTTGAAGTAGTCATCCGAGCCACTTGAAGGACTAACYGTTTGCAGATGTAATTACAAAGGCAGCACCTTCTCCTCAGTTATYTTAAGACGCTGAGTGTTGGTCCAGCCGAGACTTGATCCATGACCTCCCGCACAACAGAGCGACACTCTTACCAACGGAGCCACCAGGTGGCAGTTTTTAGAAAAGCAAGAAATTAGAGTAAATGGTGCATCTGGGTACATGGGGTGTGTGTGCATATGGGATCGGTGGGAAATGAGTGGGCTAAAATGCTGAAAATTTAAAAGCACCCCATCTGCATGGCTCTGAACCCAGTTTGGCTTGTGCTACCCAGTTTTTACCAAAAATTTGAAAAAAGAACTTTGACTCTCACTATCAAAAAAATGACATTTCTCCTATTTAGTGAACTGACCTGTGTATGTATATAAATCTCTTGCCATCAGAAGTTGACTTTATTTTATATCCCTCCAGCTGAGCAATCTCTTTCAGTTGAGATCTTAATATCTAAAAGAGGTTTTGTTCATGTGTTAGTTTAGCTGACCATGGACTGCCAGGGAATGCCCTCACCCCCTAAACATTTTGTAATTGAGGCTCTTGGAATTCAATTTTCAGTGCTGCTGAGTTGTGAGGGGCAATTGCAACATATTCATTGCATTAAAGTCATGTCAAAGCATTCAGCAACTCATAACAAAATTTTTGGCTAAAAACGTTCAGAGAGTTCAAAGAACATCCAGTGAGTATAAGCTAGCAACACTGCTCATATTGTGAACATACACTCTATTATAATTATATTTGTGGCTTCCATACCTTATTTGAAGACCTGATAGAGTTCTGTATGCGCTCCACAGCACCTGTGTGTTCATCTGGACCGCAGCTACAAACACAACCACAACATTTAATACATGAAATTTTCGGACAACTAGAATTAAAATGTAGTGATTTCAAGGAAATCAAGAATTTAAACTGCCACAGAAAATAACTGTTGCAAATGACATGATTGAAAATCAAGTGACCCTTGATTTTTCTGTACTGCTTGAATCCTATGACTGAGAAGCACTGGAGCGAGAGAGAGAGAGCCTCTGGAACCCAGCGTAYTTGTGTTGTTAGCTTACCTCAAACTCTTTGATAGTATTCGTTCATTCTCCATTGCCCTGTCAAGATGCTTGAATACTCTATCTCCAACAAGAAAATACAGACGGCATCCTCCACGCATTGCCTCAGTGTCAGGGAAGAGCTTCACTGCCTGGAAGTGGATGCATTTTTTATTCAGTACAAACAAAAAGAAATGAAATAAGAAACAAATATAACAAGGACTACTTTTAGTGGCTGTATAATACCTGGATATAGCTAAGATTGGGCACATGAGTTCCACAGCACATATTCTTATCAATACCTATAATAAATCAGATTAAATTTCATGAGTATATCTGTGAAATTATGTATCCTCAGAAACTCAGGGGTAAAATTATGTTGCTTCTTTCTTGCCCCCCAAAAAATATGAGCAACAGAATTGTACTCCAGACCTGAGTTTTCAACTATGTTACTGAAAAATGTCTCTGGAATTAAAATCACTTATTGACAAGGTAACTTTTTCATTCCACATGTTGGATACATTTTCTAAAGTGATGGATAGATTTGTGCAGTTGTTTGGAACTACGTATTATTATACATAAAAGCAATGAATAAACAGCAGAAATATAATCTAACAAATAAGGTACAGGTTAACAAAACATTGGAAGGAGTGAGCAGTATAAAAAGGAGGGAGGATGGAAGATGGAAGAAGAGCTTCTCAATCACACGCACAAAATCATATAATTTGGCATTGCAACTACCTTCTTGACATTCATCATCAAAATCTTCTTTTCCTCAAAAGCAAATATTATCAGGTGGGGAGGATTTAGGAGTGGACCCATGGGGCAATGGCCCCCCTTTTTAAGTGATGTATTTCCTTTAAATATAATTATATTTGCATATGGTCTTGAAGGTTTTCTCTTAGGACGAAGTTTTTGGCCCCACCCTTTCTTCCGGCCCACCCTTTAATTACTTTGATTCCTGGATCCGCCCCTGAGTATGATTTTGCACATGTGATTGGGAAGCACTGTAATCTAAATAGTGGTACCTTCAATCTCAATGACTCTAATGGGGCCATTGTAGTCATCTGGTAGCCCTCTTGTCTGTGCCTGTTGGCAGTTAAGTGATAACTGATTGATAAGTAAATTTAGGGACGTAAGTTTAGCGGTCTTGGAAGTACGATGTTGTTAGGGGCAATGGGAAGACACTAGTCTATTCATTTCAAGACTTGTCGACAAGATAACAGCAAAAGCTATGTCTCTTAACTTTCTTGTTTCTTTTTGAATTGATAAGTGTAGTATGGGACATCAATGCTGTTGCTAATTCCCAGGTTCCATAGCATGAACTACAAGTACAGTATCTAGCTGTACCACTACCCCTACAGGGCTATTTAATATGAGACATATATTCTCTCACACAGGTAGCCCAACACAATAGTTGGGGCATTTCTGTGTTTAATTATACCTCCTCAAGTTCAGGTGCATTCTTATTGGCATATATATGTACGTTGACAGGAACATGTTTTCTGATTTCTGCATTGGCAGTGTCTTCTATCCAAGCCATTTCCTCTTTGCTTAAACTCTTACAGTTCAACTCAACATGAGATTTTTGTCTTCCTAATTCCCTAAAAAATCAAAATCAAAATCATATTTTTTGGGAATAAATTTTACATCTAAATTTTGCAAATATTTCCATGAGATTAAAAACTAAGCTGAGAAAGTCTCATTACTTTATTTAATGGTAGATTTGAAGCAGGTTCATAGAGGTGAGTGGCATAGAAGCATCATACTGGTCACCTTACATGTATTTAATACTTCCCTAAGAGTAAAATAAACTAGCTATTTCATGCTGCCAGTAAGAGAAAGATAATTATATAACAGCATACATTTACATTAAAGACCTTATGCAATGTATACTGTACTGTCTTCAGACAGTACAATATAGCATACATCACACTTTCCTTACCATGATACTGTTTTATACCCAAATTTGTTCTCCAGCAAAGCTGATATCAAATGCTGCCCTATAAAGGAATAAATCTAAGTTCAGCAATACAGCATGCAGAGAAGCACAAACCATAGGTGAGGTTGGTGCTTCTCTTACTGAAACAAAAGTGTTTGTATCAAAGCCAGACCAAAATGCACCAATTAGATGTTTGCCATCTCAAAAAAAAAAGGCTTTTGATGTCAGTACTCTGCTTTATTCTCTGAAAGACCACAGTTTTGGATATCATTGTCATCTCCATCCCTGGAAGAGATCATCACCATATCATAGTGGGGACGTCTGTGTGTCCCTAAGATCTCTAGACCTACTGTACATGTATGTCAGCTAGAGTCTTGTACTCCTGTYAGGGCCACCCTTGCCAAACAAGGGTGATCCTAACCCTTACAGTTGGACGCAGGGCTAACATACCTAACCCATAAAACACCAAATGTTACAGAAAGCAAAAGTATTTTTATCAGAGTGTAGTAAGGCGATAATATAAGAAGCTTAATGGGTTATGGATTTATAAGGTGACTTCTTTAACTCATATTTATACCTGAGTGCTGCTGCATGTGATCAAAGCGTCTTGTCCAGTCAACCTTCAGCTGAACTTCTGTCCCAACTGGGATTTTTTCTTGTACAAAATGTACAGCTTCCTCTTGCCTTCTAGTTATCTTCATCACTTCAATCCCATTGATCTTATTGTAAWAAATTTGTTATCATAGTTATTAAAAAGCATAACTAATGATGATAGCTATAATGATAATAATGATGATGATGATGATAATAATAATAAATAGTTTAAATATTTATTTAAGGTTACTGAAATATCCTTATTTTTGTAAGCTAAAAACATAGTGAAGGGGACTGATTTCCTTCTCTACCAACTGCAGTATGCTAAAAAGGAGCTAATATGCTTCTTACTTACAGTTCCTCTGTCGTCTGGCTGCAATTAAAAGAAAAGCAAAAGAGGCATTTTAGAAATATAGCTGACGTTTAGAGAGAAAATAAAGGTATAAAAAGGCACAAGACAAGTTTGAAATATACAAAATTCATCGTTCGAACCTGTCCTCCTCCTTCTGGGAAAAGAATGGTGTCTTGGAGAACAACTTCGAACGCATCTTTATCTCCAAGTTTTGTACTTTCACATGAGACCACAGTGGTGTTGTATTCTTGTAGGAATGAATCCTTTTGGCAAGCAAATACCATTCTAATTGCTTTGTAAATTCTATGATTTCTTAAAAAATATCCAAATTTACGAGAGAGAATCATAGATGACACAGGGATCCCAACAAATACAGAAACCAAACGCATGCGTAGTGGCTAACACAGGGAACCCATCGAATGTGTTTCTGCGTGCAAAACGCGCAGCGGTCGTGTAATATCCTTGAGTATTATTTCTTTGCTATTAGTCYAAGGCTTGAGAATTACATCAATATAGATAAAGCTAAACGAAGAATCTTATTAGGTACAAAACCGGAAACCCACATCATGCAAAAGTTTTCAAAAATGGTCCAAATTAGGGACTCCATCTAGAGGGGGTGGGYTATTGTCCGACAGCGCCTACCTATGCTGGTCAAGGAGGGGGATTACTATCCATTTACCAAAGAAACCCAATGAAAACAGCCTCAACAGGTATTATGAAAACAAAAAAACAAAAACAAACAAACAAAAAAAAATAGCAACGACAAATCAAGGGTGTTTTTAGGAAGAGTTTTATTAGGCCAGGCATTATTTCTGGGCGTTCTAAACGGCCTGCCTCCTACTTGAAGAATCCAAGAATCCTACTTCGTACAAGAATTAGTACCATTGAGTTAACCTTGTTCGGAGGAAGTTTTTTATACACCTTATTCAAGAAAATTATTTTCTGTCCGGCCTTGGTCAACCAGAAAATATCGAAACAATTTTGTGTGATCATACTTCTTGGCCTATCCTTTTACCCTCTCCTCAGTAAAACCATATGGGCTCCCTCGGTATGATGACCGTTCCCTAATAGCTAGGAACAAGCTCAAGTCATAGCGTTTAGTAACTTTAAGGGAGCTTTCAATTTATTCTGTTTTGGCAAAACTGAAATCTGCCATCTCAACAACCTTTTGGATGTCGAGCTTTCTAGTTTATTAAAGCAGCCGATGTATAGTTAAAGACAGTAGCAAAAACACAAAAGTGGCAAGACTGGAGTTATTCGGGATGCGCTAAAGCGCTCTAATCAAATCCACTATAATCAAGATCCCGGTAAGAAAGAAATTGTCGTCTGGCTTGAGGACGCGGACGACTTCTTCTCCCTGTTAATCTGTAACCACCTCTTTCATTAGGCTCTTCCGTACCCGTATTATTCCCATCCTGTGAACTGATTATATTTCCAGCACTGCTATAGTCATAATTTGGTTTAAAATTCATCAGGGGTTTGTGCACTTCTCTCTCAGATTCCCCAGCATCAAGTCTCCTTTTCTTGGCCTGGGATTTTTTCTTTTTCTTCTTTTTCTTCCCAGGTGCCATCACCGCATTCGCAGGAAACATTAACTCCATTTGTTTTTGCTTTTGTTTCTCAATCTCTTTCAGTATATTTTCATTAACAGCGGGAAACGTAGCCGGGATTCTTTTCTGCTCGATGTGCTCAGCAAGAAACAGTTCAGTGTCTATCCCAGACCATGACACATCAATAGAAGTAAAGTCAACAACAGTGATGGGTTTGGAGTACCTGGCGTTTATATCCAGTTCAGGTTTTTTCTTGGTAGTACTGTGTTGGGCATTCTTGTACAAACAGCAGTGAATTGCAAAACGTTCATGCGTCAAAAGATACGAATCGCAGGCTAGCTGCGCCAAAGAATTGAAGATTTGATAAACCAGCTTCATTCCTTGTGCCGGGTTGAAAGCAGATCCCGATGAAAGAACATCCGGCGGTGTCATCTCGTCCACTCGAAGGACTTCATTATTCTGTCTCTTAATACGAGCACACAAGACCGTCGTGTTGGGTCGAATGTATGTTTTAAGCCACCACCGCGCAGTCTCGCTGGGCGTCAACCGTTCGTAACCAAACTGCCACTGAAACTCTGGTTTGGCAACAACCGACAAAAAACTCTGAACTTTGGTGTTCTTATCAGTTTTATACGCATCTAACTTGCTACGAATTAAAAGACGAAATTTGCCGAATTTCCAAAGGGAATAAACGAAGTTTTTAGCCCGAACATTGTCAGTCTGACAAAGTTCTTTCATCAAAGATCTTTTATAAGTTTTTGTCATCAACTGATTGGGTGTATAAAATTTCTTTGGTAAAGGTTTTTCAAGAAAGACAATTTTGTGTGCGGGTTTGTCTTTTGGTGATTCAATTCCTGAAAAAGAGAAAAAGAAATAAAAATTCCATATAGCTCTTCACTTCATTAAAGTTAAGACGTATATTCGGCTAGTAATCAAGTGGTCATATTGAATGTTAAGTGTCCCTTAAACCCCAGCCACAGTCCCACCACCACCCCCACCCCCACCCCTCTCACACTCGTTCTCCTTCTTCACGAAATGCGCGCAATTATTAGTGTGTGCGCTGTAGCATTTTTGCCTTTCATAGATAAGTCTCCCCCCGTTTGACGATAGGATGGACCGTGATGAAGGAGTCCTTGTATCCGCGCGCCCTCGGCTGTGTCTGAATGACACACTTTTTATATTCTATTGATTTACTTTGCTGAATCTCGGAGACGATTACGGGTATGTCCCACTGTTGGTTAAACTGTGGCGCTTGATTGTCGATTAAAGTTTGTAAACAAGAAGATGAAACAACGATGTTAACACTGTGTTCCTTCGCCACACGAAGAGCGACTGGATCTTCACTGAGGAGTAAGGGGCCCTAGAAGTACAAAAGTAAAAGGTATGATTATCTAGTTTCCCTAGGGGAAGCAAAGTTTAGTGTCGAACCACGGATACTATTTTGTTGTATTTGCCACACGATACAGTTCAGTTGCTTTACAGAATACACTTTGGCAATAAATATAACAAACTTACTCAGTTATCCGAATATAATATATTACAATAAATCAGTGACGCCACACACTACAACATTCTGATGTCACTGAGTTATTCTGACGTTCACTTTTACGCTATGAAACTTTCAAGAGGCCCCAGTGAATAAATCCTGTTATACATGAAGTTAAAATTTATTTATCGACGGTAATAGAGCATAAAGAAAGCTATCCACTTATCACAGTTCTTTGGCCAGTCGTACATATTTGCAGTGGTACACTAAGTAAAAGTCCCATTTCATTGGATGAGAATTTAATGACGCCACATGGCCAATCAATGACACATACTATGCATAATGTCGCTGAAGTAAATCTCGATTCTACTTCTGCGTTGCTGTAAATACTACGCGAAACAGCTGCAAAGGAGGTGGGTGCACGGTGCATTTTCGTAGTTGTGTGCAAAGTTGCACTATTGCACCTGCACTGCGCAACTGGTCTTAATTTACATCTTACCCAAACGCTCAAGCTATTGCTCTCAATTTTTATTGAATGACCCGCCAAAAAGTTAATATGGCCTCTGGATACATTAAATTTATGCTATTGCTTTATAATTGTGTTTATTTTTTATTTGCATCACCAGTACCAGTAGTAGAGTTTCCAGTACCTTATCAAAGTTGTCTCGCTGTCTACAGATATTAGCATCGGCCAGTATCAGCTTGATTCTATCTGTGGGTTCAACTAAAATGGGAACATCTCCCTGCAAAACAAAAGAATATCATAATAATATAAAATTAGTTAATTTTAATTGGACTTTTTTTTTTGGAATAAGTTTTTTTTTGAATGTGAAAAGTGGACGATTCCTTTCTACTCAGAAAGATGTACCCAAAGGTAGACCCAAAATAGACCCAAATTCCATTTGGATCAGCAATAGTCAATGTGCAAGAGTACAAATATCTATTACAAAGCATGATGGGAAACCGAGTACTACACGAATCAGAACAAGAAAACCAATAGAATTATCAGAAAAAAACTGTTATTTTTGTCTGTTGAAGTACTTACACTTTCATAGAAAATATTAAAGGAAAAATTGTCAGATGAATTTTTAGAGGAGCGGAAAAAGTAAATTCTTGGTTTACCATCATGCTTTGTGCTAGAGATTGGTGCTCATGCACATTGGCTATTTTTTGTTTTTATTCTAAGAATATTCAAAAAGGATTCTTATAAATAATGGCACAGAGCCTCAAAATAAAAATTACTCACCACTTGCAAAAGAATATCTTGAAATTCCAAAACAGGGTCACTTCTAAAATGAGCACCAACTGAGAGACCGACGGTCTGATTGAGATGGTAATAATGCTGCAAGAAAGACCCCAATATTTATATTCAGACTGTTGTGCATGCTCTTAAGACTAAGAGGCTTCTATTTATCATATGCATGGAGGAGGTTGATTGGCAAAATGAACCAAATCCACTTGAACATACAGAGATAGCAAGCTCAGGGGAGGAAAGCCGGGGGGCCTTAGCCCCTTCCCTTTTTTACAAGAATGACACCTTACTTTCTGTTGGTTTGAGTTTCATTTTATGAAGAAAAACAAGAAAAACAGGGATGACCCCCCCCCCCCCCCCCCCCAAAATGTTCCTTAAACCCCCACTTACAGTTGCACATGAGAAGACACATTTTAAATATGCATACAGGTCAAACAAAGAATCTTTTTCTCAAGGGAATGACACTTGGTCTGAATTGATAAAGCATTACACCCAAATGGATTTGGTCCATTACTTCTAAAATAAGCTCCAGAAAGATCAAAACTATTGTTAGGCCAATTTGTGACCATAATGAAATTAATATCAAGAAATCAAATCTCAAATATGCAGCCTACAAATTTTCAGCATGCTACCCAGTCTACACCATTGCCTGATGAAGACTAGCAGTTTGCAGTCAAAACAAGACAAATTAATAAGTTATCATTTATTTAATGATAACTGGATGACATTGAGTAAGTCAATGAAATCTTGCTAAACGTCATCCAATAATAATTGTTTAAAAAATATCTTTATGCATGCAAAACTTACTTTTAGCATCTTTATCCTTTTTTCTTCAAGTGAGCTTACCTGAGTAGGAATAATTGACACTCAAATTTGGAATAACAATCAATACCATGTATGTATTAGATCAYAGTTATATACTGCACTACGCCACCCTTACTATAAAAAAATTGTGTTATACATGTAGCTATATTCATAATTACATATGAGTAACAGCAGTTTTGCAACTCATAACACAGTGAAATCAGGTTTGTAAACAATCAAAAGAATTTAAAATAATTACAAAAATGATAACTAATATTTAATTTTACAGTGTGTTAAATGCTTGGAAAGAAGGGGACTGGAAGATGGAAGACAGGAAGACATAATTTCTGCCTCTACCATACATGCAGTTATTAACAGATATTATATAATGGCATTTTCTTGAGTAGTGTACATCATTAATTAGAACGTGAAAAATAAGACAGAAATCAAAGAATCGATTCCAGGTTGCAAATAACATGCTTTATGTTGAGCATTCTTGCCCCTTTAGCACACAAAAATCTTTGCATCAATAATTTACCTGAGACACTTCCTTGGCTTCCGAGGGTATGCTGTTGTATTTGCCAGCATTACTTCTGACATACTGGTAAACAAACTGTTGAAACTCTTGTTGCTCAAAAACAACTTTTGCCTTCATTTCCTAAAACCATGTTGTAAGTTACAGTACATGACAGCATATGATAAACTAATATGGTGAATAATGGATAGATGGATGGATGGATGGACGGACAGATGGATGGACGGACAGATAGATGGACGGACAGATGGATGGATGGATGGACATGGGATAGAGGATGGATGGAAGGACAGATAGAAGGATGGATTGACATGGCCCGGTACTAGAGGATGGATGGATGAATGAATGAATATGGAATAGAGGATAGTAGGATGGATGGAAGAGAGAATAGAGTGGGTATAGCTAGAGGGGAAAGGAGGAGGGAAAAAGGGATTGAAGATGAATGAGAAAAGGTATTATCATATAACATAACAAATAACAATTTTGTAAGGAGTCAGAATAATTTTACTAGTAAAAGATTAATTTTAAATGTTTTTAGGATTTAAAAAAATCTCTTTCACCCAGACTACTATAAGTATAATTATAAAATCCCTAGAATCCCTAATAGTCATAAAATCTCACCTTTAGATTATCCCTTCTAGTGTCATCTAAGACAACTCCTTTAACTGCCTTCTCATATTCTACAATGAATGTCTTATGATCCTCTTTTGACAGGAAAGACAGCTTCGGGTATTCAATCTCTAAACCAGATTCAATTTTAGCTATTTTGTTGATATTTTTCAGAATATCCAGTTCATTGACTCCTCTTGATGTCTCTTGATTATCAAAACCATATTTCTTAGCAAATGCCTCAACTTGAATATTTTCCAGAACCTCTCTCTCTAGTATTGTTTTATCCTCATTTCTTGTGATAAAAGTCTGCAGATATTGTAATAAACTTGGCTGGGATGTAAAGCTTTCAAAATCGTCTTCTGTAAAGAATGTTTCATATGGTAATCCTTCCATTATCTCATGTCAGTAACTAAGCTCAAAAYACAAATTGAGGAATCTGAAATCATAAGATTAAATTAAAAAACAATTTTTTCTGAAACAATTGATTCCCCATTTGCTCCACACATATATTCACTGTTTACGACRCACAACACTCTACTCAAATTTTGATTCTTACAGATGTCAGGGAAACTGGAAACAAGAAGAAAAACCTTTGTGGCAAAGGATAGTTCTAACAACACACCAAGCAAGCTCAAGCCACATATACAGATAGCACATGCCACTCATAAAAAGCTATGGGTCTCCAGGGTTTAGTATAGTCAAGCTTCAACTCTAATATATATCAGCCTATGCTATTTCTAATCAGGCTTGTACTCTTCTCCTGCAATTTCAATTAAATCATATTTATAAAAAATAAATAGCAGTTTTTCCTATTGTAATATGATTGTTTTATTATTATTATTATTATTATTAGAGACAGCCACTACTTTGTAAGTATAATTTATTGTGGTCAGCTGCACCATGACAAAATGACATGTAGCTAGACACACAGACTATCAAATATAAATCATATACAATAACCGCACTCACTTTAAGAGATTATATTCCGCTCACACTTACAACATTTTACCTACAATGTACATGTAGTGTAACATTAAGGGTGGTAGTGTTTAAACAAGAATGTAGCAAGCCTTAAGAAACTGGGGGGAACACATATTAAAATCACTTTGCAACGTGTGCATTATCACAAGAATGCTACGTTTTTGGGGGAAACTGGAGGGACATTGCACCTCCCCCCCCCCCCCTCTCTCTCTCCTCTCTCCTATTAAAGCATTTTGAAGTGCTGTACTTGAAAAAATTTAATTACGATGTCATTTGATATTTTTCCATTTCCTCTGCTTGCATGACCCAYCTTTTACGGTAAGTTCGAATTTTTGACCAAACCTTCCTGTTTCTATGGTTATATGGAGCCATAATTACATGTATATTCACCATATAATACAGCGTAAATAGGAAATATTAAAACCTGGAGATGGTACTAGAAGATAGTTTGGACTTTTCCATATCGCTAAAAAAAGATCTAATTTCGTGAACAAAATTAACTTCTCATTCAGACTTGGTACAACTTTGTCGAAAGATGACTGCTGATTGATCTGAAGATTTTAAAAATTGTCCCTTCAATGATCTTTAAACAAATCGATATCTCGACATTAGGGCTGTATGTAAGGTGAGTAGCCTAAAATTTAATGTTTTTGCGATTTAAGTGTGCTTCTTATTTAGGATTTTTTTATAAAAGATCTCGAAGATAATTTTTTTTCAAAACGAGGACGGTACAAGGTAATTCTATAAAATTTCATTATAATATCATAAGAATGCCAACTCTTTTGGTTCTCTTAATTAGTTATTGCTACTGCTAGTAATATGCAGTATAGACCACCTAACTATGGTCCTATATACGAATTATTTGCGTATTTTACCTTTGTTTTTCTTTTTTTACGTTTCCTCGTCGTCCGCCATTTTGGTTCTAACTTGTGCCCAGTCGCCCGGCCCTTGTTTATGAGTCAAAGCCACAGGCAGCCCAAGCTCGATTTTTGTTCACTACTCTTTTGTGCTACTGGTTGAGTCACTCACTCAGATTACCCCCTTAGCCTCTTTTCCCCTCCCCATGAGTAAACATGGACATAAATGTAGAGCCCTGGTTTTCAAATTCGATCTAAGAAACTAAAAGGAAAAAATCGGGTGAGTCCAGGGACTTTTGTGTTATGATAAATGTTGAAAATAGGACGTTCATGGGCAAAAGTAGACTTTCGAAAAGTGGTACTCGCCTGTTGCATAATGCATAAGTAGACTTTCGAAAAGTCCTTCTTAGCGAGTACTCGCCTGTCACTCCGCTCCAGAACCGCCTCGAGTTTCACGCTTGTAGACACAGCGTGTACACAACTTGTGACAAGACTAGGACAAAAGATTCCATCCGATTTTTTAAAACAAATTGTATAATGAAAGTACAGTTATAATACTAGAAATAAAATGAGCAAATAAAAAGGGGGTTGCTGACTTCCTTTAGCAGTCAGATTGCGTGGAAGTTTGCCTTTTTTTCTGTAAAAACGCGCAAACAGGTACAGCGCAAACATAGAAAGCTGTGAAAAACATAGACGCCATGTTAGAATCGAAATTGTTCCCCCATTTTTCACAGAACTCTAGAAAATGATCCAATAATTGTCTGGCATTTAAACTTTAATGCGAAAATTAGAAATATGAAATGTTATTGGGCTACGAGCGTGAACTCGTAGAAAACTTCATTGGATGCATTGAAGCCTTAAGTATAAGATGCAGACCAAGTTACAGTGCTCACACTCAGTATTACCGCTCCTAACTGTGAATCAGTGCTCTGATCCTTAGATAATTAATGTACATCTCTAACGAGAAATCTCTAAATGAACACTATTGTTTTCTTTCTATTTTAAATAAGGGACCATTTTTGTCAGTCATTTCGTGTTTTCATGGAAACAGGTCAACGATTGATTAACACATTAAGAATACTACGTTTATTACGTTTAAACCCTCGCAATCTGAAGAAACAGCAAGATGATATGGAGGAAGTTAACCAGAAGGTAGGAAAGAAACGCTAACTATGTAAAGTATAATGAAGAAATAACCTACTTTTCATGTAGAGCATTTCAAGTCAAGAATTTTGGTAGAACCGAAATTTGAGTCGTGACCTTACAATGATGTCATCTAGTAATCTTGTTTTATCGTTGCCTTGGTGTTTTCTTGATATTTTTTTAATAATCTTTTTACGTGTCCGTTTAGCCTATCAATTAAACGCACACTTTCTATCGGTACAAACAAACAAGGTACCTCACTCAGCTTTTGCTTTACGGCCATACCCTGTGAACCAACTCATAAGAGTTCTCAGCTTTGATTGCTTCAAATATAGGATGAGAGTGAGTTTGCTGGGATGCGGACGACACAAAAGGTTTGGATGCTCTATTTCTCGTCTTGTCTTTCTGGCAGTCGTACTGATTGCTGTTCAGATCGCCATAGTTTCCTACCAAGTCGTGTTTTGGTCGAAAATCAGATGTGATAGCCCCATGGAGTGCTCAAAAGGTAAGGAAGCCGCCAATTTCAAATGAAACTGCGATAAACTGATGTGTATTTTTCTCAAGTGTAAAGTTTGGAAAACAAATGTTCTACTTTTTTAAATATGAATCGTTGAGAACAAGCCACCTAAATTTGGGCAAGAAATTGCGGGGCTTGACGCGCTTCAAGCTCCTGTGAAAAGTATAGATATCGTCAAAAGTTCATTACTATGAACTTCTGATATCGTATCACTTAAGAAACACAAGACTATTTCTTTTTTTGATCAATAAGAAAAAATTAGCTGTAGGATATAGTAAGTCCGCATGCTTAACACTTAACTTGCAAACTTGTATCAAAGTGAGGGCATTTAACCCGTGAAATAAAAATTACTAGTTAATTTAATGCGGTGCAATAGTAAAATAGACACAAAAGAAAACAATGGGATATAGGTCTACTAAAGTGTATTGATAGCCAAATATCTATTTCACGGATTTAATGACTTCAATCTACTTAGTTCCAGCTCTAATATCTCTTTAAATTTTGTTTTTCCTATACTTTAGTCATATTTTTCGAACCTTGGGAGAGTAGAAAAAGTAATAGTCTACACTTAGAAGCCAAAAGTGCGCGCTTCCAGGAACTGATACAGAACCAGATTGGACTAAAAGACGACATAAAAGGCGAGCAAGAAGTGGTGCTTGATTGTGGAATAAAGGGAAGAAATGATCGTAATCAGGTATTGTTATCCATAATCCCACTCCGAACGATAAGATAGTAATCGCAATATAATTAGCCGCCGAGCAAAAAAAAAAAAAAAAAAATTGTAAGAACGATTAAAAACATGCGGACTGAGTTTTGGCTTTACGAAAGAAAATATCAAACACCAAAATATGTAAAAGTGTCATTAACAGCCTAGTATTTTCGTGTTGGGGTGAACAAAGGCAGAAGATCTCGACCTCGAGTAGACTTGGTTTAATTACCGTTAACGCTTTGGTCATAATAGATAAATTACCGTTAGTGCCCCATGTGCAAGCAAACACAAAGTTAGTGAGCAAAAAGGTCATGCTTGCTAAAAAGTTACCTATATAAGAACCGAGTTACTTACTATATAAGGGGCCAGCTTAACTTGAGGATTCAGTTCTCCAGGCTTCTGACACCTATTATGTGATTTTTGCCTATTGTAATGATCATTACAAATAAAGGTGGCATAATCATCATGTATAATAAGAACCTTTTAAGACTGACTTAGCAAATGTTTGCTTTCATAGGCGGGTTTCATTTTTGAGCTTTCTTGACCGCATATCGCTACCTTCGCGGGAGACTTCAGATGACTTGGTGGAGTTAGCCAACTTCACATGATGAAAGACTGGGGTGGGGAGAGACAAAAAAACGTTTCATTCTTTCAGGGGACAAATGAAGTTACCAAGGTTTTTTGAGGACATAGACCACTTTCGCTTGGGCGTAATGTTTTTATTTTTTCAGCCCTCGTATCATTCCCTAGAGTAACAACTGAAATAAAGATGTGGTCTATAATGGGAGAGCATTATAACCAAGCTTATCAGGGTCTCATAATGGATAGGCATTAAAACATTTTTTTCTTTTTTTTCTTTTTTTTTTTTTTTTTTTTTTTTGCATGTTCGTTTTGTTTTAGAATCCAAATGGTAGTTTGAATCTCCATGTTTGGTATGGCTGGTGTGGTTACACTACTGATGATCTAAGAAGAGACCCTAATTTTCCTGAGAGGCCCCACGTAAGTACTAGATTTTCCATCCGGCTATATATCATTATTGGTGAGAGGCCCCACGTAAGTACTAGATTTTCCATCTATATATCATTATTGGTGAGAGGCCCCACGTAAGTACTAGATTTTCCATCTATGTATCATTGGTGTTTACAACAGCTATTATTAGATAGAATGTAATTTCGTTTATTTTATTTATTAAAGCCTTCCATGCCCATCGGTGTCAGTCAACCCCTTCCCCCGTAGAGCTGTTGATTCTCATGAAATCACTGCTGTCATTCATTGCTACGCAGTGTTTAGGACAAAAATGGGCAATACACCACCATCAATCAAATAAATCGTTTTCATGCACCCGCCACATTTCCGATGTAACAATTTATTTGATCAACTTTTGACTTCATCAGCGCGTTGCAATGAAAACAACTTAAAATTTTAAACTTTTTTTGTTTCAGACAAGAACGACCTTGAGCGAGTTTAAAATCAACCGCACCTTCTACAGTTCGTGGAGAGGAAAGAGAGTATTTGGGTATATTCACCCACCCAAAACAGGTAAAAACAGTTTGCTTTGACTGCAGCATCGTTAAGAACACTTAAAGCCTTGCAAATACGCAATAAGACTTTTCAAATTCAAAACTGAATCTTTTCACTGACACAAAAGAGAAAAATAAAAAGCGCTTTGATTAAATTATAGCAGATACAAGTAATAATATAACCCATGCGTTCTTTCCGATTATTTTACAGCGCGACGCGTGCTACCCTAGCCACCCAAACTAATCATGTCTTGCACGTTAGCAAGTAACAAATCTTTCCTTTGACAACGCGACTGACATTGTCGCTTTTCATCAACTTGTAAATATGCAAAGTGAAGCTAGCACCGGATTCAGAGTCACCAAGAATCATTTCCCGGGGGATATCAAACAGGTCATTCTATTCTTTTGTTTGTTAACAAGGTCGGGTCTAGCTAACTGGCTAACGTGTAACAACATATGTTAACTTAGTGGTCAAGGTAAAAAGCGTCGCGCGGTAATAATTGTCGAAATCGCATCTTACCTATTTGTCCAAGGAAATTACAAGTTCTTCATAAGCTCAAGAGATTCTTCAGACTTGTGGCTCAGCACGGACGATACTCCTAACAATACAAGAATGATAGCATACTTGGGAGAGGTAGGTACATGTATCTGTTTGGAGGAAATTTCGTATGATACAAAATTACATCTTTTGAACCAATCACATCACGCGAGATCATTGTTCATCCAACGAACGCTCAAGCACGGCACCACCACAGTTACGTACGTCTGTTTATTTCACAGTAATACAAAGTTCATTCCTGAATTATAACTGAACATGATATAGATCTTGCGTTCTGATTGGTTGGAAGCGCGTACTTATGAGAGCACACAGCACGCGCGCAATCTTTCTATTGCGTTTTTCTTATCCAAAATAAATAAAACCTTGCTTGCTCTGCTGTGTGAAGTTGATAAAGCACTTCGGGGATTGGCAGAAAACTCGAGAAGTGTTGAGAATTACCCCGCTTCGCGACATGCTTTCCCAATACTTCTCTCGTGTTCTTCCCCAAACGTGCTTTATAGCTGCACACACCTGGCCCCCGCGTTTTCAATTTCTTCGATAGAAAACGCGCGCGTCCTCACGGTGTGTAGTTATAAAGCACGCGGCGATGATTGAAGATTGGCAGAGCACGAGAGAAGTGGTAGGAAATGCATAACGCATGGCGAAAGGGGGATAGTTATGTTGTTGCTACTGTATACTAAAGGCAAAATATGTTCCACTGACCTCCTTAAAATCAGCCCTGTATGTTGACTTCAATTCAGCCTAACTTGTTTTACACCCATCTACTACAGGCAAGCGATCAGTACGGAGATAATTCAAATCCAGGGGAATACAAAAAAATCTCTTCACAACAGTCACAAAATATCAGGTTTGTACGTCCACCTAGAGAAGTAAAGGTTTATTTAATTATCAAACGTCCAACAAAATAAATAATTGAAATCAAATAGGTAGAAAAATAAAACAAATTAAATAAAGACCAATCAAAATCGACCAATATGAAATTAAAAATATGATTTCCTATATGCCAAGCACAATTCAATTCACGGAGCCCAGTTGAAGGTTGCAGTGAGAGCATAACGAGGTTCTACTTATATTTTAAAACCAAAACCGGCGAGCAAATGTTATGTGTTAAAAGGCACGAAATTCTCGTTAATTCAGTGTGCAAATTTTTTCTTTCGCGAAAAAAGGTGCACGCGAAATCGTTGCGTTTAACGGCGCTTTAATCAAGGCACCAAGGGCGCATCATGGAACTGATTTGTCCCCTAAAACAGCCCCACAATGAACTGCAATGCCAATTCGACACAGGTTTTTCCTCAACCTCGAAACGGTTGATACTGAATCCCATTCCTTTATACGAAATTTTAAAAAAATTATGGATTCTGTTTTGTGTGGACACTGGTCTTAACTTGCAATCCACTCCAGACGTAACTAAGGTTTTTTTAAACTTCAGTTTAATTGCCAATAAACCCTACTTCATCGAAATGTTCTATAAGAAGAAAGGAGGGGAAGAACACCTACAAGTAGCTGTAAGTACAGGTTACGTGTTTTCATGTTTTTCCCTCAATAACTGTCAAACGAATTTGTTGGAAAGGATTTGACCCATGGAAAAAAAGCGGAAGAGTTTTATTCGAGTCTCTTCTACAAAGTTCTTGTCGAAAAAGTTATTTTATGCCATTTTATAAAACAAATTTTACCGTCAAACCTACTGAGCAAACACATCATTTGGTGAACATTTGTTGCCAAAACTTTTACAGCCTTTGCAACCAAGTTAACGGTTCATTGCATCTACTAATTGCAACGTCAAGGACTGTTATTTTAAGGATTCTTAAGAGAGAGAAATGGCATGCACGTAAAGTTTTGTTCAATTTTCTTTCTTCTTGTTCTTCTCCTTGCTGTTGTTGTTGTTGTTGTTGTTGTTGTTCTCTT